AGAATGTGTCGTTAATTAACCACCATGCAGGCGCTTGTCATGCAACTCGGAATGTTTTTTCTATGAGCCCCTAAACGCCTCTAAACCCTGAGCCCTAAACTCTTTGCGACTATCGCGGCTCTGGGCTGCGCTCAATGTTCGCATTTGATAGGTTTTCCTCACCTACGTGTCCGCCCCGGTCTAAATTTCTCGGAGTGGAGCGGTCAGAACAACCCTGTAGATACAAACCACAGGACACTTAGCCGCTTAGTGAATCAGTATACCTGCAATTACGGGAGGACCCGTATAATTATGATTCAAGACAAATGTATTTCTCAGTGAAGGGTGTAAATGCTTCTGTGGATCTCCACAAATATCAAAGCTGGTGTAGAGTTTGGGTGGGACGACTTCATTGAGAGTATTGGAGGAGATGTTCTGTTTCTCCCGTAAGCCCTGCCAGGCTGGTCCTCAAGCCTGACATCCAGTGACTCCACACCCATAACGACTGGTCAGTAAACCTTGCATTGAACCAACGATGTAAGTTTTATTGCTAAAGGCTAAAGTACTAGATTATGGAGTCTCTGGGAACCCTGATCCAGGCTTAGGCTTTATGGTTTAGGGACGCAGGGCTTTTTGCTGTGGCCGGCCCCAGAGCATGACTCAGAAGGTTCTTGATGGCGGGATGTTCCGGTTTCAACAAGTTCGAAGCTAAACTCCTAAACCCTATGCGCTTTCTGTTAGGCGTTGAGTGATTCACTCTCTGTGCCCGACTTGTTGTATTTTGAGTCCACCCGCCCTCAGTGTTTCGGCCGCCTAACCTTTAGGACCATAGTTGGAATAGGATTCTTTACGGAAAAGGGTTGGTTCCTTTACGTACAGGCGCTGATACAACATTCGCGATATATAAAGGGCTAAGTACAGTGGGCAAACGAGTTGAGATACGGTTTTGGGATACGTGGTTTTTGCATACCTCTGAACGGACTACAGGTGGATACTTTCAACTACTGCTTATTCACACCTCTGAAACCCTTGCAACAGTCTGTGTATTGAACCCTGTAACGACTTCTGAAACCCATCCTGGTGCTGATTCTTCAACCCTCAACGTCACCCCGGGCGAAGGTCATTTCAGCCATCCAGCTGCGAGGCAGCCGGCACTTGAGGTTTGGTTGAGGCTCAGGGTCCTCAAAGCCTATGCCCGGTTCCCCACGGAAGGATAGAAACTAATCAACAAAACAGCCATATCTTAACGCATATCATGGTAGGACACCTTCTGGCAGGGTTCTACTTTTCGGGTTCTGAGTTCTGGCCTTAACCTCGGCAAGCTTCCTACAGCTTGGTTTGTGGCACATGACATCCTGTCGCGACAGCTGCACACGGGGAGCGAAGTCACCGTCCCCGCTGTCGGTATGTCTAGAGCCAGGAGGTGGGCCAACTGCAAACTGACAAAGCGATGTTTAAGGGCACCGACCCGGATCTCTGCCCTGCTGGGCCAGCCATCAGCAAAGTGCACGACGCAGCTTCCCATGCCGCTCATTCTCAGCACTTCTTGCGGAAGTATGACTTCCAAGTGGCCAGCCTCACCAAGCCAACGATCCACAGATCATTGCGGTGCAGGAGTACGTCCTGGTCGCTAGTCTGGACCAACACTTTACGATCCTGTGCAGCGTGTGGCTTGGAGCAACCCTTGCAAGCGTGCTGAAAAACCCTTCTTGCAGGAACAAGTTATTTTGTAAGTGCAGGTACCATATAAGTTTGAAGCCCCGATAAACACCAGTATAGCACCATACACCTTTGAAGCCCTGATAAGCACCAGTGTAGCACTCTTACAGACCCTTATAAGATCCAATAAGAGCTTTGCAGAAAACCCGACAGGCCCAGCAAGATTCGTATAAACTCCGCCGAGAACTCTTTCATCCAAACTTACGCAGCCCATAACCCTGGGCATCAAGATAGCCCAAAAGCCTTATATAGTATGGTCTTTGGGCCCAAAAGCCTTATGCATGAGTCCTTAGATGCCTAGGCTAAAGTATGCGTAGTTGGAGACCCTAAGCCCTACTTGGAGGGGCAGGGGGCTTAGTAATTCGTTTACAAGTAGCATTAGAATTGGGGTAACTCCATTTAGGATACTCATAACTCTACTTACCACCTACTTACTAAGTCCCTTGCCCCTCCAAGTAAACCCTAAACCCTAAGCCCCGAACCCCTAAATCCCTAAACCCTAAACCCCTAAACCCCTAAACCCCTAAACCCTAAACCCCTAAACCCTAAACCCCAAAACCCTAAACTCCCCAAACCGGTGTTGGAGACTCGGGTTCCAGGCTTTGGAGGACTCCTCTGTGGCTCAAGGTCTGGCTTTTTGTTGGGGCTCCGCTGGGTTTTGGGTCAGGGCCTACCCGACACGGGCCTCTACTACGGTTGATGATATAAATCCTGCATGACCTTAATGACCCTAGACTATGGGAATTATGGTATATTCCCTGTTATGTGTAATGCAGGATGAACATCGTCAACCGTAGGGTTCCTTTAAAGGGGTCTATAAGGATTACTGTAAGGGATCTATAGGGGTACCATAATATTGTAGGAACCTGATAAAACAAAAACCGGGCTTTTTTTTAGTAGGACTCATATAAGGAACCCGAATAACGCCCAAGCTTTCTTAATCAGGTTCCTACATTGCCCGGCACAATAGCGGTTTTAGGGTTGAGGGCACTAATTTCTAAACCTTGAACTACTTAAACTTGTTTGCGTACGACTCAGGACTCTGAAATGCTTCTTTCGAATACCATTAATGGATGAAGCTGCTAGTTACATAAAAATACCTACTTGCTTAAGCTTCCTTGGTATGGTCTTGGTAACCTTGTACCCTACGAGACATTGATACAAACCTTTGAGATTTATCTTGAAACCTTGAACTCTGTCAACCCGGAAGCCGCAAACCCCGAGCGGCAGACCCGAAACACTAAACCCTAAGAGCGCGCAAGAGGCGGCCATGGCCAGTGAGTAGTGCATGCGGATGCCCGTTTCACTGCCATGGAAAAATAGTGCCTGGTTTCGGGTTTACAGTTGAGGATTATTTTCTCGGTGTAGGTATGTATTTGGTATGGGCTTTAGGGGATTCATTTGCTGAGTGGTATGCATCTTAGGGGTCATTGGGCCTGAGGGATTTCTGGGGCTGCATATTTTGGAAGCAAAACTTTAGAGTGTAGGGCTTAGGGTTTCAGGGTTCTGGCCGTAGGAAGTTCGACTTCTGCAGGTGTTAACCTTAGGGGTAGTTAGAAATAATTTCTAATTTTTGGTTATTTTAAACCCTAAGAAACAGCTAAAATTATAATGTATGCTAGGGTTCTAAGTTCAGTATAGTAAATTCTATGGGTTGACAGGTTGGGATCTTCGCTTTCACTTCGCTGGCTTGCAGAGCTATGACCGAGCATCAGGACGTATAAGCGTATAAGATTTCATTCGGTTTGGATTGTTGTTTGTAGATTCTCGGGCTCAAAATTAGCTTTTGACATTCTAGCTGCAGTGTTATCTGGATGTCGATATGTCCTTGGGAGCCCAACAAAGACAGGAAGGCCCCGACGCCAAGGCCCAACCTTAAAGCTCAAACCTACAATAACCCCGTGCAAGCAAGCGCTACTTTTCGAAGGTCCAATAGGAAGAAGCAGGCCAACTGTGATGCCAGCGTAGAATGCAGTGACCCCCACGACGACGACACAGATTACCAGGGTATATAAGTCTTGTCCTGACAGATCAGAGGCCTGAACTAAAACCCAAGCTTGACACCCCAAGCCCAACTCGACCTGGAACCTAAACCAGAACAAAGCACAAGGCCAAAAGTCAAAGCATATCTTGAGGTTCAGAAACTTCACACTGGCCCAGCGCGCTCACGAGGGCAATCAGGATACAGAACAGGTATACACCTCAATGGCGGATCCTACGAAGAACTTACAAAAAAACCCAGTGAAAAGCCGTATAAAGCCCTGCTAGAATCGTGGTCTTGGTCTTGAAGAGGATCTGTCTGTTTTGGGATATACGTACCTTACGTCTCCATCGTAGTCTTTTTTGGGGTCAACCACTTTCATGGTTAGGATCCTGTTACATTGCCTCGGTTTGCCCAAAAATGGAACTGCAATGAAGAGTATAGGCAGGGCGCCAAGGTTTGTGGTCTCGGGTGTTGACTTTGAGATTTCGGTTCAGAGAGTTTAAGGTCTGAGATCTAGTTGAGCCCCGCAGCCTTGTAGTAAATTTAGGTGCGACATCCCAAATCCCAAGCCTTAAGCCTAAACCCTAATCGCCAGAAGCCCTAACTCCAAACCCATTCCATTTAACCGCCCGAAGGCCGGACTATTTGAGTCGCGTACTGATGTACGGAAGCATCCTGTAGAGTCGTATGGAAGAGGCAGGGCGAATCTTTAGTGGGACCGGACACGCCTGTGTATATACGCATCATGCATGATTGCAAATTGCATGTGCGTGCATATCTGTATATGTATATGAATTTACATACGTAAGTATGTACTAATGTGTAGATATGTACTATTTCTATCAATAGGTAATATATACGTATATATATATATATATATATATATATATATGTATATATATATATATGTATACACTTTAATGCATTTGGTTATGTATATGTACAGGCTGGCGGCTAGGGTTTAGGGAGAATGAGGTCTTGTGGTCTACAGCATGTTACAATGCTTGAAGTGGAGACGAAGGCTCAAGGGGCCGTTGGGCCCGGTGTTCTTCATCTAACCGTTGTTTGAAGTGGGCTGCTGCCGACATGAAGAGAAGAAGTGTTTGGAGTCTAGGGGTTTGGGGTTAAGGGGCTTTAGGGAGCTGAACGAACACATGTAGGTTGCATTACCCCTGAGTCCACCCAAATGACAGGCTTTATGTGCAAACACTAAGCGTTCTTCTTGGAGTCCTTGTCGTCATCAGGCCTGCATCACAGCTTCGAAGCTTCTCTGGCGGCAGCTCCGTTCGTCTTTCCATGTGTCATACTTCCCGCTGCCATGATCGCTGCATGGGCCGTGCCTTTCATCCTCCTGTGCTTACCTGCGGCAGAGCGGCAGTCCCAACGCAGAGGTATCCTAAGCACGGATCCACTCAAGGAGGATGAGGCTCCGACGTAGCTACCTCAGAGAGCCGCTAAAGCCTGTACTAGGAACCATAGACCTTTAGTTATTAGGGGCATCATACTATGATTTCAGCTATGTTTCTTAATTAATTGGTATAAGATATATGGTACGAGAGACTTACAGCTGCAACGACCCTAGGACCAACGGGTCATGACGAGCCTAGGAGGAAGGATCGCCACGGAGGAAGCAATATATGAAGGCCGCAAACCCCGCCCCTACACTTAGTAGCTGAGTGGACACACTATACACTTTTTGGGATAATAACACCTGCTATAAAACTAAAAGTGTACACGTTTTGGGGGCTTATGAACTCAACAACTGAGTAAACCCCGCCCCTACAAGAAGAACAGCGTCCAGGATTTCGAACCATCGAGCCATGAAACGAACACCAAACCGTAATCCGCCAAGCCCCTGCGCAAAAGGGCATCCATCAGACCCAGAAGCCCCATTCAAAGCCCCATGGTCTGAAGCAGCTGTCACACCCTTGTGGCATCCCTAAACCCTAAACCCCTAAAACCCCTAAACCATCCTAAACCCTAAACCATCCCAAACCCGAAACCCCTAAACCCGAAACCCTGGTAAACCTCCAGTCTTTTTTTGACAAGTCGCGTGCCGGGGCTCTGTCATAACCCAGGTCTAGGTCGGCCAGGAGGAAGACTAAATGGGAGATGTCTTCACCTTAAGGATTTAGGGTTTAGGGCTTAGGGTTTAGGGCTCAGGGCTTGGGGTCTTGGGTTTAGGGTTTAGGGCCTTTTCGGCGCCTCGGTTCCTGGCATATGCGTAGTCCAGGTGTAAAAGGGCCTTAAAAGGTTTATTTCTCTTCTAAACCCTTGGCTGTATGAACCCTACAGCACGCATAGCTTGAAGTTCTGATGTCGCTTTGCCTGCTCTACAGCTTCGAGATTTGGGGCAAGCCCCAAACCCCAAGCCCTATACCCTATACCCTACACCCTAAACCACAAACCCAAAACGGTAAACCCTCAGATCCTAAACCGCAGGCGCATAGCAACCTGGAGCATGCGGTGCAGGAGCCGGACGAGACCAATCTAACTTGCACCTGGGTCTGCGAATGTGCTTCTACCCTACTAACCCTAAACCGCATAAACCCTTGTAATCCCTTCCCCCTAATATTAAAGGGTCGGGGCCCCCCCCCCCTTCGCCCTAAATAAAAACTCGAAAATGTTTTTATAATTAGGGGGGTGTTGTTATCTCAATTCCTAGAAACACAGGTTCTACAAGTAATTAAATGATGAAAATGATGACGATGAAAATGATGATGACGATTACGGTGATGCTTGTTATGATGAAGATGGCGGTAGTGGTGGTGATGGTAATGATGACGATGATCATGGTCCAGGAGAAGAACATGATGATGATGAAGAACATGATGATGATGTTGTTGTTGATGATAGCAATGCTTCATGGTTGCACAAGTGCAGAAGAGCACATGTGGCAACCTGCAGGCTCAACCTCTGCAACCTGCTGCTTCAACCTCTGCAACCTGCAGGTTCAACCTCTGCAACCTCTGCAACCTGCTGCTTCAACCTCTGCAACCTGCTGCTTCAACCTCTGCAACCTGCTGGTTCAGCCTCTGCAACCTGCTGGCTCAACCTCTGCAACCTGCTGCTTCAACCTCTGCAACCTGCTGCTTCAACCTCTGCAACCTGCTGGCTCAACCTCTGCAACCTGCTGGTTCAACCTCTGCAACCTGCCCCACGAAAGCCGGATGTGCACCCAGTCCCCTCTAGAGAGTCCCCAGAGAGCCCAAAGCTTCAGGCCACCCCAAAATCTCGATTCCGGGTGGGGAAAGGGCCCAAACGACGCCCCTGGGGATTGAGCCCACGACCTGTGCCAAGAAGGTTTTGGAGCCGGACACTTACCCATTAGGCCATGGCCAGATAGTTTTTTGGCAAGGTTGCGCACCTTCGTAGTAGTTTTGGGAGAGGTCGCAGGCCCAATTCTTGCGGTGTCATTTTGGGCCCTTTCCCCATCCAGAATCGAAATGTTGAAATGACCAAAAGCGCCAAGAGAGCACAACCACACCCGCCCAAAACCGCGCAAACCCACCAAACCTCTGCAACCTGCTGGTTCAACCTCTGCAACCTGCTGCTTCAACCTCTGCAACCTGCTGGTTCAACCTCTGCAACCTGCTGGTTCAACCTGTGCAACCTGCTGGTTCAACCTGTGCAACCTGCTGGTTCAACCTCTGCAACCTGCTGCTTCAACCTCTGCAACCTGCAGGTTCAACCTGCTGGTTCAACCTCTGCAAATTGCTGGTTCAACCTCTGCAACCTGCTGGTTAAACCTCTGCAACTTGCTGTGGATCAACCTCTGCAACCTGCTGGTTCAACCTGTGCAACCTGCTGGTTCAACCTCTGCAACCTGCTGCTTCAACCTCTGCAACCTGCAGCTTCAACCTCTGCAACCTGCAGGTTCAACCTCTGCAACCTGCTGCTTCAACCTCTGCAACCTGCAGGTTCAACCTGTGCAACCTGCTGGTTCAACCTGTGCAACCTGCTGGTTCAACCTCTGCAACCTGCTGCTTCATGCTGCTTCAACCTGTGCAACTTCAACCTCTGCAACCTGCTGCTTCAACCTCTGCAACCTGCAGCTTCAACCTCTGCAACCTGCAGGTTCAACCTCTGCAACCTGCTGGTTCAACCTCTGCAACCTGCTGCTTCAACCTCTGCAACCTGCAGGTTCAACCTGCTGGTTCAACCTCTGCAAATTGCTGGTTCAACCTCTGCAACCTGCTGGTTAAACCTCTGCAACTTGCTGTGGTTCAACCTCTGCAACCTGCTGGTTCAACCCTGCAACCTGCAGGTTCAACCTCTGCAACCTGCTGCTTCAACCTCTGCAACCTGCAGGTTCAACCTCTGCAATCTGCAGGTTCAACCTGTGCAACCTGCTGCTTCAACCTCTGCCTCTGCAACCTGCTGGTTCAACCTCTGCAACCTGCTGGTTCAACCTGTGCAACCTGCTGTGGTTCAACCTCTGCAACCTCTGCAACCTGCTGCTTCAACCTCTGCAACCTGCTGGTTCAACCTGTGCAACCTGCTGGTTCAACCTGTGCAACCTGCTGCTTCAACCTCTGCAACCTGCTGCTTCAACCTCTGCAACCTGCTGGTTCAACCTCTGCAACCTGCTGGTTCAACCTCTGCAACCTGCCCCACGAAAGCCGGATGTGCACCCAGTCCGCTCTAGAGAGTCCCCGGAGAGCCCAAAGCTTCAGGCCACCCCAAAATCTCGATTCCGGGTGGGGAAAGGGCCTAAATGACGCCCCCGGGGATTGAGCCCACGAATTTTGCCAAGAAGGCTTTAGAGCCGGACACTTACCCATTAGGCCATTGCCAGATAGTTTTGCGAAAGGTTGCGCACCTTGCTAGTAGTTTTGGGAGAGGTCGCAGGCCCAATTCTTGCGGTGTCATTTTGGGCCCTTTCCCCATCCAGAATCGAAATGTTGAAATGACCAAAAGCGCCAAGAGAGCACAACCACACCCGCCCAAAACCGCGCAAGCCCACCAAACCTCTGGAACATGCAGGTTCAACCTCTGCAACCTGCAGGTTCAACCTCTGCAACCTGCTGGTTCAACCTCTGCAACCTGCTGGTTCAACCTGTGCAACCTGCTGGTTCAACCTGTGCAACCTGCTGCTTCAACCTCTGCAACCTGCAGCTTCAACCTCTGCAACCTGCAGGTTCAACCTCTGCAACCTGCTGCTTCAACCTCTGCAACCTGCAGGTTCAACCTCTGCAACCTGCAGGTTCAACCTGTGCAACCTGCTGCTTCAACCTCTGCCTCTGCAACCTGCTGGTTCAACCTCTGCAACCTGCTGGTTCAACCTGTGCAACCTGCTGTGGTTCAACCTCTGCAACCTGCTGCTTCAACCTCTGCAACCTGCTGCTTCAACCTCTGCAACCTGCTGGTTCAACCTCTGCAACCTGCTGGCTCAACCTCTGCAACCTGCTGCTTCAACCTCTGCAACCTGCTGGTTCAACCTCTGCAACCTGCAGGTTCAACCTCTGCAACCTGCTGGTGCAACCTCTGCAACCTGCTGGTTCAACCTGTGCAACCTGCTGGTTCAACCTGTGCAACCTACTGCTTCAACCTCTGCAACCTGCTGCTTCAACCTCTGCAACCTGCTGGTTCAACCTCTGCAAACCTGCTGGTTCAACCTCTGCAACCTGCTGGTTCAACCTCTGCAACCTGCTGTTCAACCTCTGCAACCTGCTGGTTCAACCTCTCTGCAACCTGCTGGTTCAACCTCTGCAACCTGTTGCTTCAACCTCTGCAACCTGCAGCTTCGACCTCTGCAACCTGCTGGTTCAACCTCTGCAACCTGCTGGTTCAACCTCTGCAACCTGCTGGTTCAACCTCTGCAACCTGCTGGTTCAACCTCTGCAACCTGCTGTTGATGTTGGGAACTTGCACCGGGGAGGGTTTTGGTGGGTTTGCGCGGTTTTCGGCGGGTTTGGTTGTGCTCTTGGCGGTTTTTGGTCATTTCAAATTTCGATTCTGGATGGGGAAAGGGCCCACGGGGACACCGCCAGAATTGGGCCTGCGACCGTGCCCAAATCCCCTATGGAGGCAGCCGCCAGCCCCCAGAACTATCTGGCCATGGCCTAATGGGTAAACGTCTGCCTCCAAAGCCCTCCTCGCAAAGGCTGCGGGCTCAATCCCCGGGGGTGTCATTTGGGCCCTTTCCCCACCCGGAATCGAGATTTTGGGGTGACCTGAAGCTCTGGGCTCTCTGGAGACTTAAGAAACGCTATTATAAGGGTTGCAAATCACACCAAATCCGTGCAAATGCACATTAAACCGTGCAAAGACAGACGAAGTTCGTGCACATGCACACCAAGTTCGTGCTAATACACACGAAATGCGTGCAAATACACACCAAATCCATGCAAATACACACTGAATCCGTGCAAATACACGCCGAATCCATGCAAACACACACTAAATCCGTGTAAAGACACACACACTAAATCCCTCTAACTACACACCAGGCACACAGTAAATGCGTGCAAATACACACGGAATCTGTGCAAATACACACACTACATCCCTGTAATTAGACACCAAATACTGCGTGCAAATACTCACGATCCGTGCAAATCCATGCAAATACACACTAAATTCGTGCAACTACACAGGACGTGAGTGCAAATACACACCAAATCCGTGCAAATACACACGGAATCCGTGCAAATACATCTAAATCCGTGAATCCGTGCAAATACATACTAAATCCGTGCAAATACACACTGAATCCGTGCAAATACACACTAAATCCGTGCAAACACACAAATCCGTGCAAATACACATTAAATCCGTAAATACGCATTAAAAAAATAGGCTTCAATAAAGGCTTGGCTAATAAAGCTTTTCATGCGGCTCAATTGAGCAGTTGCTGACTCATGCAATTATAATTCTTCCCCCTAAACCCTCAATCTATAGACCCTAAACCTTCCCCCTAATTCAAATTAGGGTTTAAAGGGCGGTGCTACTTCCGGGTGGATCGGGGGAAAAGTGTTTTTATAATTAGGGGGTCCTTTAATAAAAGGGGGAGGGGATTAGACGTCCGAGTGTGAGCGCCGAAACCCTAAACCCTAAAACCCTAAACCCTGAAAACCCCTGAACCTTAAACCCTAAACCCTAAACCAAGGTCCAGATGTACGCTATGTGCTGGAAACCCTCGGACTTCCATCTTGGGAAATGTGCCTTTTCCTCTGCTCTTGTCAGTCAAGGGATTTAGTTTAAGTTACCATAATATTGATCTATAGATAAGGTTTCCGTATCCTGGTAACTAAAGTTAAGCCCCTTAACAAGAACGCAGTTTCGGGGGGCAGGTTCCCTAAACCCGGAGCCCTAATGTAATGTAGAGGCCTTAATAACTAGACTAGTTTTTGTGTTTCTTTTGGGGGGTCCGTATGATGTTGATGGTATAACGGGCCCCCAAAGCCCAGTCTAATTATTACGGCCCGTTTCGTAAATTAAAGACTAGACCCTGCTCCATAAGCAGGTTGAAAATACTGCATGGCTTGTTAGCTTATACAGGTTAAGGGGATCCGTTTTTGGGGTGCCTAGGCTTTAAGGGTTCAGGGTTGTGGGTTAGTCCTTTACTGGAACCCTGAACCGTAACACTACTGTTACTAAGCCCTAAACCCTGAGAAAGGCAAAGACATGATCAACGCAACTGGACCGGTGTCGTCTGGGCCCATCAGTTCCCAGCGAGTTCGAATTACGACGTTTACGACATGTTCGCTCCCGACCAATGCGATGTAGCAGAGCTTCACCTTCAGAACCTAGTTCTCCAATACCCAACCTTTATTTTGTTGGTTCTTATAGTTTAGAACTAATCTGAAAGTTTACCGTTTTCTTTCTGTAGCTTATTGGGGAAGTAAGGAACTCCCCTCTTAGAGGACATCTGTCGTCGAGGCTGGCGAAGGTCCCCAATTTCAGAACACTTAAGCATCTTGTGCTCGGCAACACTGGTGTGACCGGGAACATTGGGTTCCTTGCAGAGCCGAGTATGTAACCTTGTGCATTTGGGGGTAGAGATAGTTCTACCACAACTAAAACCGCAAGCCCCTAAACCCCTAAACCCCAAACCCTCACACCCCCGAACCCTAGACCCCTTGAGCCCCAATAAGCCCTCAGTTACCCAGAGAACCCTATATCCCTCAATTAACTATAGCTCAAATCATAATAATATGAAGCCCCTAATTTAAGGTACAGTCCTTAATGAAGTAAATGAAGTGGTATTGGGCTCTCTGGGTACTCCTGTTTGGCCCGGAGTACCTAAACCCTAAACCCTAAACCCTAACCCAAGGTTCCTTGCTGAGTTGAAGCATCTGCAAGTTATAGACCTCTCAAGCACCGCAGTGGAGGGCGATGCTGGGCTCTCGTTAAAGGATTTAATTAGGGTTTGGGGTTTTGGGTTTAGGATTTATAATGCAAAGTACGATAATAGGGGTGGATTAGTAAATAGTATGGTTTTCTTATTATGGTCCTGTAAAAAGAAACCAGGATATTGGCTTTCTGTCGCACCTGCCTCAATTGTCGGTGTTGGATCTATCTCGCACGGGCGTCTATGGCAAGATCAGCGATTTGAGAAGCTTGTATTCCTTGCGATCGCTGAGACTGGCTAGAACAGACGTCGGTGGAGATTTGGGGCATGCCCTCCTCCGTGGTGCAGGCCTCTTTTTTCTGGACCTTTCGCGCACGGCGGTGTATGGGGATCTTGCGAAGCTGCCAGAGCTATCGAAAGAGTTGCGCAAGATCCATCTGTCGTAGCTGGCTCCTCAAGAATCATCTGTTTTTGATTCTGACAATGGGTCTTAGTTATTATCCTTGTTAGTATTATAGACTTGCTGGGTCAAGAGCTAACAGGAAGACCCCAAAATCCCTTAATTATGGAATATCCCCATAGTAGGTATCCTAACATGATCTAAGGTATATTCCTTGATTAAGGGGTTTTGGAGTCTCTCACTACCCAGCCCCCCGGGAGGATCTAGAAAGTAGATCCCCTAGTTGGGGCCATAAACTACTAAGGGTATATACTTTATAGGAAACCCCATTAAGGGATCTACTTTTGGGATCCTCCCGGGGGGTCTGGGTAACAGGAAGACCGGGATCAGTGGTGACATTGATGAGCTGCTGGATCTGAAGGAGCTCCGTGTGGCCGACCTTTCCCACACCAAGGCAGGTACCTAAACCTATACCTACGGTTGATGATACAAATCCTGCATTACCCATAATAAGGAATATACCATAATACCCATAGTTTAGGGCCCTTAAGGTAATGCAGGATTTATTTCAACCGTAGTAGTAGAGTGGGTAACCTCTAACCTTTTTTGGGTAATATAGCCCCTAGATCATCCCTATATAACCAAAAAGGTTAACGTTTAGTTCCCCATGATACCCGACAAGTAGAAAAATAGGAGCCTCAATAATTAGCTGTACTATTTTCGGGTTCCTTCTTCTAACTATAGTACAATATACCCCAAAACCCTATACTAATTATTAAGGCCCCTGCATTACGATAGTCTCCCCTGCCTTTGGATCCTACCTATAATTTATAAAGTTGGTTAACTTGACCAAACAAGGGAACCACAATGGAGACTGTAGGTAGCTTCTCAACGTCCATATGTCCTGAACTTAAGCGCTTTACGTCCTAAACCCGGAAACCTAAACGAGATGGAAACAAACAAGGAGCAAAGCACCGCAAGCCCTCGGTGGATGTAGGGCCCTAGTCTCCAAACCCCAAAACCTTGGATCAGACTTTTTCAAACTATTCATAAGATTGATGCTCTTATCGATGCTATGGTTGGTATTTTCGAGAATTGTTATGAGTATTCTTATTGCAGGAGCTGCTTTTATTCGAATACCAGGTTTTTGGCAATCCAAGCGCAACCTGGTCCTTCAAGCTGCAGAACTTGCACTCCTTATCCTTGGCCGTGGGGGGCTCGGGTTCAGGGTTTGGGCTGCGGGAAATGTTATCGTGATTTGTAGTATCTAGAGGCTTCCTTACACCTTACCTGTTTCTTGGAGTACTTAGTTCTTTGCCGGCGGGGCATGAGCCTGTACTTGCAGGTTCAGGGGTGGTCATAAGTAGAGTTATAAGTAGGGTAACCCATATTGGGTGACTTATAACCCTACGTATATACATATATATATATATATATATATATATATTCACCCGCGAACCTCCAAGTACCACAAACTCTAAGCTCCCAATAGAACCCGTAAAGGAACCCTTAAGGGAACCTCCAAGTAGGTACCTACAGACAGCTTGTCCGCCGGAAGCCTTCATCTTAAATCAGGTGCCTTCAGAGGGCCGTGTCGACTTTGGTTTAGTGCACCTTCTTTTCGGAGTGGGAAACTTCCGCCAAGACAAAAGCGTGGAAGTGCGTTTTAGTTTGGGCTTGGGTGTAGTACTTGGAGGTTCATGGGTAGATATAAGTGGGGTGAAAAGTCCCCTAGTATGGGATACAAGTATAGTTACCCTACTTATAACCCTACTTATAGCTACCCATGACCTCCAAGTAGGTTCTGCAAAGCCTCCATTCGATTCCAGAAGGGGCCCGGGAGTCAGTCGTCACGCCCTGAAAGGCTTGAATCCTTGAGTTTCTCGGGAGGATACTCGACCCCACCTTAGAGCCGGCAAGTATAGCAATTCAAACCCTAAACCCTAAATCCTGAACCCTAAATCCTAAACCTTAAACCCTAAACACCCCAAAATCCCAGATCACAGGCCCAACACCCACCAAACGCAGTCAGTCAAGGCACCCTCAACCCCCAACCATAACGCAATGGGCACCGTTTCAAGCGGAGGAGTGTAAAGCAATATAGAGGCCCAGGAATAACTGCCAATATTGTTACTTAGGATTCCTTGTTACAGTTATAGTATACTACGCCAATTAAAACTCTACCCTACTTATGAAGGCCTCTACATTCTAATGCACCACCCATAGCATAAACCCTAAACCCCTCTCTACCCTAAACCCCTTAACTGCTAAACTCAAACAACCAGTTAAAGTTTTAGTGCGGGTTTGGGTTTTGAGGGCTTTAGGGTTTAGGGTTGGGGGATCGGCAGGCGGGCATATACAAGTCGGTGCATAAAGAAAAGGATCGGCAGAGTCTGGGTTCAAATAAGGGATTTAGGGTTTACTTGGAGGTTCATTGGCAGTTAAAAGTAGGGTTATAAGTGTGGTAACTAGACTTATGACCCATATTAGGGGAGTTATAACCCACCTATAACTACCCATGAACCTCCAAGTAGGGTGAACCCCGAAGCAGCCCAGGGCACACAAGTCCGTTTCATCGACCCGCACCTCTACACGCGACGGCCTGCCTATTTCTTGATACGCATCCAGGAGCTGGATGTCTCCTGCCCAAAAACCAGGCTGTTCAGTGTTACATTTTTTTACTTTCAGGTTTCTAGGTTCCTACTATAAAATAAGAAGCTTAAAAAAGTATGTACTTTTTCCCAGTGGTTTACTGAACAGCCTGGAAAAGGAGCAAGAACTGCAGAGTTCGGGCGTGCTTTGGGTTTAGGATTGAGGGTTATCCCCAAACCCTAAAAACCTAAACCCCTCAACACTCTCGGGTACTGAACATAACTACGAAGGCAAACATCACGGTTTTCTTTATTCCAGGGCAACCCTGCAAAAAAGCCCCGAGCCAACAGAATCAAGCTAACATCTAAGCATGTTTGTCTCGTGTTCCGGGTACATATATACAGACAGACATACGGACATACAGACATATAAGCAGACATACAGACACACATACAGTACATACACATAAGTACATGCACATACATACATACACGCACACATACACATACACATAATGCACTGGCATGCACATACACAGACATACATACGGCTTCATACACATACATATGCATACATACATTCACACGTACAGACACATGCAAACAAAAAACAAACACGCATACACATACACCTGCACCGACATACGCAAACACATACAAATAGCATACACATACACGTACACATAGACATACACATACACTTACACATGCATGCATACATACATACAGATACAAACCCATACAGACACATACATACATACATGCATACATACATACACAAACCTATACGTACACACAGGCACACGCACGCGCACATGCACATGCGCATGAATAATCACACACACTTACACATGCGAATGTTCATGCACATACACATGCGATGCACATACACATACACGTACACATGCACGTACACATGCACGTACACACACACACACTTTCATACATACATACATACATAATTACATACATACGTACATACATACATACACACATAATTACGTACCGTCATACAAACATACATACATAGAAACATAGAGACATGCATGCATATACATACATACATGCATGCATGCATGCATGCATGCATACATACATACATACATACACACACACACACACATGTAAGGCAGAGTTTCAGTTGCAGTGTGCTCCACTACTTGTATCACGTCAGCAGAACTATCACTCTACATATATATATATATATATATATATATATACACACATAGACAAAGAGATGTAAAGGGATACTATTGCTAGGCCTTCAGAAGTCTGCATTCGAGTTTAATGTTTTTGCGTACTATACACTCAATGAGCCCAATCGCCTCTGGTAAGACTGGTTTGTTAGTTTTGGGGCGCGCCTGCGCGAGCAAACAAAGCAAATGCCACGTCGACTACTGTTTGGCACGCTGCAATAAGAGGCGGAGCACTCTGCTCGGTACGTTTTGTTAAAACTCGCACCTCCGGGATCAGTAGTGCAAAACTGGAATTGCGCCTCAGAAACTGGCGCGCGTTAGAAACGATTTTTCTGGAGAGGGTGGGATTGGGAGGAGGGTGCGGGACGGCGGATTTGGTGGGGGGTGTGGGCAGTGGGGTGGAGGGTGGGGAGAGATAAGAACCATCCGGTTGCCGAATCAGGGCTGGTTTGCGAAGCAGTCGGTCTGGCTTTTGAATCAGCCGTCATGGTTTCCAAATGATGGCTGGCTTCATCTGACTTCTGATTTAGCCGTTAGTTCTGGTTACCGGTTCAGTCGTTCTGGTCACTGATTCTTCCGAGGACCGGCAAGGAACGGACACGGTTCGCTGGCTCACAGTAAACCGACAACGCGAGGGGCATGTTTTATTTTTTTTCGGTACGGTGTGGTCTGCAAATACCGCAACTGAACATATAACGTTTGGAGCACCGCAATCGCTGCCCCAGCACTGCAAAAACGAGCGCTTTCGGCTTTCTTGAAAGCAGCATCTTCCGTAACAACTTTGGGTGGGAATACCCCAAACCGTATTGCAAGTATTCAGGCTGCTATAAATCTGGTCATAGAACTCTCATAGAGCGTGTTTGGAACCCTTAAGCGACCGATTCCTTAGATGAGTCCTGTTCTCAAACTGATTCTTGCCCTACGCAGCCCTGTTTAAGCTCTAAACCCACTGATTCTGATCTGCTTTTTGCAGAGGTCACTGGGTGCCCTTTGAATGGGCGAATTGAATACATTCTGGAGCTGCTTCGGGACCGAGGGGGTTTAGGGGTGTAGGGGGGTCACTGTCAGGGTTCTACACTCCAAGGGTAAAAGGAAAGGACCCCTAGGTAACCCCTAATATAGCTACTATATACCGCACTCATTGTATAGCCCATTACATATAGGGTAGGGGTCCCCATTAAGGGTCCCTCCTTTTCCTCTTTGATACACGGATCCTGCCAGGGTTTAGGGGGGAGCTTCGCAGCGGCAGCTTGTGAAATTGCACTGGGAAGTTGCTGTGCTAGGGTTGATAGTATGAATCCTGCATTACCCAGAATAAGGAATATACCATAATTCTCATAGTTTAGGGTCCTTAAGGTAATGCAGGGTTTATATCATCAACAGTAGCTCCGCACTCCTTCCTGCAAAAGCTCGAAACCCGAAAGGGGTGAACCCGCTGGCCGTACAAACGGTCTGTGCCTAGAGTCTCATACGCTACCACTTTTTTAGGGTACCTAGTTCTCTAGTTTATGCATGGTAGGCTGGTAGGGTATGGGCCGCTAGGTAATGGTAGGTGGATCACTCCGATCAGCCACAAGCGCTGAAGTCGGTGCAAGCTTTTGCCAATGCCAAAATCCAAAAGCCCTCAAGCCCTCAAGGACTCGGTGCACCTTGCCCGCCTTCGCGTCGCACGCACCAACCTTACTGGCAAGGCATGGTCCGTGGTTGCATGAACAGTCAGGATCTTGGGAGAATTTCGCTGAGTCCTTAAGCGCTTATAGCACCGACCAGAGCTTGACTTTCGAATTACTTTGCCCGCGTTCTTCACAGTCCCGTCCAGCGACAGCCGACATGAGCCCCGAAACTCTTCAATGTTGAGGTTATATGGGTTTCGAGCGACTTAGGCCGAAGCATGCCAGTACGGATTCAACAAGGCTTGCACAAGCGAGAATGGTGGCAAAATAACTTTTTCGGGCTGGCACGTTTGTCATTATCCCCGCCCCCCCATGCAGCAAGAACAGCGTTAAGGAGAGGTGGTTGGTAGGGGGGGCCTACTACTATGTACTGCCGCTGCTACCATTGCTACTAGTCTGCATAATGATAATACACACCAATACTACTAATTACTTACAACCTACTACTTACGACGACGACCACTACGACGCAGGCGACCCCGACATCGGCGACGCCTACTACTACCTCTCCTGCTCCAGCTGCTGCTTCCACCCCTATTGCCAAAATGCCACGGTTACCAGCGCTGTTGTGGCAACCGTGGCACAACTGTGTATATGACAGCATCATCAACACTTGCAGTTACTTGTATCGTCATCAAAATTTTCCATCCTGTCAATCGTCATCACTAGCATCATCATGGACACCATCTTGGATATCTTGGTGAGGGTGACCATCGAACTCATCGTTCATGTTCTTCCCTATTGCAATGACGACGTGTCAACCCCCTAGACCCCAAACTAAGCTCAGCGTAGGCCCGAAAGAAGACGAAGTAATGCATGTGTAAGCAGTTCTTCGGACTGGCCTGGAGGTTGATGACGGGGGGGACAGTCGCCTGTCGACTTCCTTGCTTCTTCTCGACGCCACGGACAACAACATTACGCATCTCGCCGGCTTCCCTGGGAGGTCGATTGTGCAGGTGTCGTTGTCGAAGAACCATCGCCTGGACGTGACAAAGGACGCTCTGGTGCAGCTGGGTCCTTAATTATTGTTCATGTCAGGAGACTCAAATTTAGTCCCTGGCCCCTCAGCCCTAAGCCCGGAAACCTTTCTCAAGTTCTATCACTCCGAAGAACCTTTCAGGTATTGTAGTGAAGAACTGATTTTAAAATACAGCCATCAAGGCCCCCAGCCTTAAACCCCTACCCATTAAAGCCCGAAAGAGAAACAAACAACGACCTAAATCCCTGACCTTACTGTATGCGCTGATCCCCTATAGGACTCGTGCCGATCCCTTCTGGGAACCCGTATAATATGGGGGCCGGCCCAAATAAGTACCAATACCATTGTTGAGGTTCCTGATTACAGTTATAATATAATGGGCCCCCAAACCCTATTCTAATTGTTAAGGCCCCTACATCAGCTCGTTCAAAGAGGCCCCCAAAATTGAACCCAGGCATAGTCTCCAGCAAGAGATTCAGCTGGACTTGCGAGGGACCCTGCTCGCAAACGTCTCGGCTGCTTAGCTTTGTCATGAGAATGGAATAATTAGGGCCCAGAAGCCCGAAACCACTAAACCCCTGAACCCAGAATGCTGAGATGCAGCGGGTTTGGCGTCCAGGAGGTGCGGCTAAGGGTTTAGAGAAATCTCGGTTGAGGGCGTCGTGATTCTTAGTCCTCGGCTGGGTAAGTAAGTTGTCATTGCATTGCCTTCGGGTATATGTACTGGTACCAATGAAGGGGTCTAAACCATGAGCCTTCAACCCGAATCCACCTACAGGCTCCCCCAGTAGCCCTCCTCTGCGAACCGATCATCATGGCGCAGATCCTATAATGTAGAATTGTTCAGCCGAAACGGAGCTACAGTGGAGGCTGTAGTTAAAGCAAAACCCTAAACCCCTAAAGCATGGCCCCTGCGCAAGGATGACACGCACGAATCGAGAAGTGTACCAACTTAGAATCCTAAAGCGCCAAGGTGGTGCAAGAGCTTTTTGCGGAGGGCTATCTTTCTCGGACTCATGAGGCAGTCGCTATAAACAGCACTGCCGGCTTCTCGTGCGCATTCAGGTCCTTTTTCGAGGGGGCTTATGGTGTTGGATACTGTGTGATAGTAAGGATTCTTGTCAGGGTTTGCCGAGACTTGGTGATGTGTCGTCATGTAGGGGTCCATGTAATGAGGATGGAAATTTCTCGAGTCGATATTTTGGGGGACCCTAGATATACAGTCGATCACGATTGAACCGTCAGGTTGATAAGCGTTATAGGGTGCAGGGTATGCATTTGGGGCTTTAGAGCCACGAGAGTCAACGGGAAACATGCGGTTCAAAGTTCAGCGTACCGGGTAAAGCTTGCGAATTGCAACAGGGTTCATCCCAAAAACCGCAGTCACCACCATACCTTAAACCCTAAACCCCTGAACCCCTAAACCCTATAATTACCCTATACCTTTCCGATAATTTTGACATTCCCAGCAGAGTCGTTTCACCCAGCAGACTTCAAACCACATGCCTCGCCTGGATTGTCCGAGTGCGAACGCCGAAACCCTATACCAGCACCTGTCGGAGTAAAGGCAGTCCTTCTTGCAGGACCTATATATTGAAACCGAGCAATAGATGGATTTCCTTGCCTTGCAGGGTAGTTTCATGAGATCCCAAAAACCGAAACTCTAAACCCCTAGCCCTCGAAACCATAAACCCCAAAACCTTAATCCTTTAAGCCCTAAACCCAGAATGAAGCTCGAGCCCCAAAATCGTACTGTAGGGGTCGAAATACTTAGAAATACTCTTCCTTGGGCTTCCTTACTAGTTTCTCCGTGCGCTAGTGTACCCCAGAACCTCATTTTAATCACGAAGCACTAAGGCCCCTATTACAAGCAACCAAACCCGAGGCTGCTACCGAGCAATACTGCTATGGCATTTTTCTAGTGTACGCCGACACCTTACCCCATATTGCAGCCAAGCCCGAGGCTACTACTGTTACGGCATCACATCGGAAACGCTTCGCATCACACCGGAGCTCTTCTTCCCGGCCCAGCTCTGCGCTTGCCTTCCTGGCTATAAAGGATCCGGCATCTGGGATCTTCTTGGGGAATGTATGTTTGCAGGGCTTGGGGTTTCTGTCGGGCATTAGGGGTTTAGGGTCTAAGAGTTAAGGGTTCAGGGTTGAGAGTTCATGTCGACCAGAAAAACCAGGTTAACGACAAGGAACCAATACGATGTAGGTTTCTTCGGGTTCATACTTGTCGCAGTCTTCACTATACCGGTAACTTGAAGTAGGTTCCTGAACAAGAACTCATCAAGCCTAAGCTCAAGCCCCAGGTACGAACTGTGTCCCGTGTGAAGCGAACACCTACAACGACATGAACAACCAGTCCGACTGCATGTCCTGCCCCAGGCTCTCAGGGGAAGGATTTCTAGACCAGATATTCCACAGATTTGGGGCTCTTATCTTAGATAGCGAACGGCGGAACTTTAAACTTTTTGGCCTTAGATATTCGCTCTGTCTTGGAAAACGTGAACCTTTTTAGGGCCCGGTTGTTGAGGAAGAGAGTTATTTAGGCGTCGAAATTGCTCTGGGTCCCCAGCTGCAAGATGGGGTAGCCCTCATCTGCTCTTGTTCTGGCATTCAGACACTTGTACTTTGGCCCAGAAGCACGAGGTCTTGCATGGTTTGCTCGTAGGTGAGGGGTAACCAACCGTTTCGGTCCTTAAACATCTTCGGCTCACAAGAAAGCCTGCGCAGGGATTGTTTACTAGGATGCCCAGTAGTACCCTTATTCCCTTTTTGTAGTCCTAGGCTGCTTCAAAAGTTTCCCAATCCTTAAAAAGGGAGCCCTTTTATTCCTAGGTTACTGGGATCGTCATTTTTCGATTTTTGAGTGCTTGCGCCGGTTTCATTCCAACAGGCCCCGGAAATTTCGAGTGCGACCACCGAACCCCTAAACCGAAACCCCAATCCCAAACCTTCCGGACCTGCGCACCACTGAGCAAGTTTCATCAAAAACTGGCTCCTGATTCAGGTCGGGCTCCAAACCACGACACATGCCAGGGATTATAGGGGCGAGGGGATCAGGGGTTTAAGGTTTCGTAAATTCCAGAGCCCCAGTTACATCCGAATTACCTGAAACAAAAGGCTGGAAAACACAGACCCTCAATCCCCCCCAGAAAAACCTCGCAGGCCCTTATTAACCCTCAAAACCTGCAGCCCGGACACCCGCGCCAGCCAGGCACTCGGAGACTTTGCGGGCCGGGGCCAGCGCACTAAGACAGTGCCTCTGTATCTTTGGCAGGACCTGCATCCTTGCGGGGAGCCGAACTATATAGGAGTTTTCGAAAATTAGGGGTACCTTATTTTTGGGGGGTCCTTGCAAAAGGACCCTACTCTTTAGGGTGCTAGATTAAGGTCCCCTATTTCGGAAACTCCCGTATAGAGGCTGAACGATTACCGCTCCTTGTCCTCAGGGTTCCTAATGAATGTCTACCATGACGATTTATCCCATAAGCCCCTACTTTTTTTGTAGGTTCTGACCATAAACTTATAAACCCTAACATGGAATCTATAGGGACCCTACACAAACTAGGACCTAGAGTAGGCCCTTATTCCCTTTTTTAGGGTTCAGGTTGCCTTATAAGCCCCTTTAAACCAAAAAGGGCACCCTTTTTATTCCTAGGTTACTCTTGGGTCTAGAAAAGTAGGACCTCATAACCCAATTCTAATTGCAAAAATGCTCTTGCTCTGCTCGGTAGGTTTTGCGGGGTTAGGCAAATCCTGAACTGTTGCCCTAAACCCTTGACCTTTTGGGGCCCCCCGGAGCGATTGAAATTCATTTAAACCGGTTAGGGTTTAATCATTTCCGCCTGTCAACACACTCCCCTATATTCCAAAACACTTTCCGGGAAATCCTTCGAAGGAAATGATCCTGACATCATCCGCGCATACCCAGTTTTGCAGTAAGTAGGGGTTCAGGAGCGAGGGAAACAGCATGAGCAAGAGCACGAGCCGGAGCAGGAGCAACGGGCAAGAGCAGGCGCAAAAGATGGAGCAGGAGCCGGAGCAAGAGCCGGAGCAGGAGCAAGAATGTGAGAAGCAAGTGCGGAAGCAAGTGCAAGAGAAGCAGCACGAGCAGGAGCAGGACCAAGATCCCGCAAAAGTCAACTAGAGACAACCCCCTGCTCTTAACAGCAAAGAGGTGCGAGTGTTTTGGCTAAGGGCGGGTGAATCAGGGGGAGAGGGTCGGGGTTTATCAAACCTGAGTGAAACGTCGCCGAAAACAGCCATGGAATCCCCTATGACATGAAGTCGTGTAAGCCTACTTGGAGGTTCTGGGTAGCTATAAGTAGGGTTATAAGTAGAGCAAGTATAGTTATAACCCGTAACAGGGGACTTCTAACCCCACTTCTAGCTACCCATGAACCTGCAAGTAAGTGCGGAAGCTCCGAATGCGAAACCCATCCCTGAAACCGCCTTGACAGATTTGAAACCATCATTTTTCGGAGCCCGAATAGTAATCATCCTAACACTCCGGGTTTCTTACAGTTCAGACAAGCGGAATTCTTAACCCTAAACCAACTCTCAACCCTTAAAGTAACCCTTATGGTACCCCATATGAACCACTTAACCGAACCCTTCAAGGAACTATATGGGAGTTTCCGAGAATAGGGGACCGTAATAGAGTACCCTAAATAGTAGGAGCCTTATGATAAGGACCCTGAAATAAGGTACCCCCCTAATTTACGGAAACTCCTATATGAAGCTCAAGCCCTGAACCCTGAACCCACAAGACCGCCTTGGAGGATTGCACCGGACATGTCCAGTTGTGCCTGCGAGACTTGGCAGTCGAGTAAGTAACACTTTGAGCTTTTTTGGGGCCCGTTTCTGTTGAAGAAGAGAGACTGAGGAAAGTGGTTCTGCGTGGAACGAGGGCGATCTCGGCGACAGCGAGTGCTTGAAGTGCGAAGACTTCAAGCTGGACCGCCTAGGGTTTAGGGTTTAGGGGGCTTGGGGTTTGCAGGGTTTAGGGGCATATCAGCATATCGGCGTTCTTGAACGTTTTAGGTTCACGGTTTAGGGTCTTACACGTTAAGGTTTTGGGGTTGGCATTGCTTGGCGTACACGTGCTGATGATGAACCCTATAGCAACTCACGATATAGTAGGGCTCTGAATCATCAGTGGGCTATAGTTCGAATATGCCCAAGAGAACCGAGCCGAATTGCACTGATCATTCTCTATACATGTTTTGCCTAAGCTCATGGCCCCTAAATCCCTGAGCCCAGTCTCCTGAAGCCCTACTCGAGAAGTTGAATCCTAGAGCCTCAAATACATAGTCCCTAGGTACCCTAAACCCTGAACTTTACCCTACCCTAAAGGTACGAGTACCTAATTATCATACACTCTCCAAACTAGTAACATACATAACCATTATCCCAAGCCCAAGTACCTGATTATTGGGTGCTATGGACCCTTAGGGTTAATTAAACCCCATCATTATGCCGGCGAAGTTTCCAACCAGTGATCGAGTACCACGACGACGACCACGACCGCCTGGGCCACCACGAGCGAAATGATTGGGGTTTAGGATTTAAGGTTCAGAGAGACCTCGTTCAAAAGGGTTGTAGGGTTTATCGTTTTAGGGTTTGGGGTTGTGGGGTTTATCGTTTTAGGGTTTGGGGTTGTGGGGTTTATCGTTTTAGGGTTTGGGGTTGTAGGGTTTATCGTTTTAGGGTTGAGGGTTGTAGGGTTTATCGTTTTAGGGTTTAGGGTTGTAGGGTTTATCGTTTTGGGGTGTAGGGTTGTAGGGTTTATCGTTTCAGGTAGACTCCAAGAGATCACCAGGAAACCACCAAGACATCACGGCCAAACAACCCCTAGTACTGGCGCTCTTCAGGACCAGGCCGCAACGCTTTCCCAAGTACTGGCGTGATTCGGGAAGACTTCTCCCAAGCACTGGTGGATCCGTGCCACGGCTAAAGCAGGGCGGCCAACATGCCTTGCGGCAACAACTGGCGGCACTCAGAGTTAATGAAGCCAATGTGCACGGCGTGCAGTTTTGCAATTTCTTCACTCTCCCAGAGACGGTTTCCAGCAGATTTCTGTAGTAGGTGAGCACAAACCACCACCGCGCCGCAGCGTGAGTCGCGTCCCGCGAAAATGCCGTGAAGCGACACCAATTAATTCTCTTGGCACCCAGCGTTTTAGCCAGACATCGTTCTTCACCACATTGCTTGGAAAAGAAACAGCTCTAATACCCCCTGTTCTTGAAGGACTCCGAAGCCCGAAATCCTAAAAATCCCTAAGCCCTAAACTCCTATACCCGAGACCCGAAGCCCTTAACTCTTGGCTAGCTCTCCCCAAAGACAGAATGGCCCCCTTCTACAACGGGCCTTGAAAGGGACCCTGCGTAGTGTAGAGAGCCAATTACCCCATGTACTCCTAAACCCCTAGACCCCGAAGCTTTCCCTCAATAAACCCTAAACTCTTGAGCCCTAAACCCCAAACTCTTGAACCCCAAACCCCAAACTCCGAAGGACTGCGAAAAGCCCGGGCACACGATGTTGTCGGCACCGCCGGAAGTCGGCCACCGGGCTTTGCAGTACCATACTTGCATGCTTTTTTGGGGACTTGTTACTTAAAGGGAACCACCTATGCTACTTTGGGGGCTCCTTGTTTATAATCATCGTATAATGGGTCCAAAAACCTGGTTTTGAAAATTAAAGCCCCTACATTAGTCTATACTTTTCCCCCTAAACCGTGAGGGCTTGTGAGTACCATACTTGAATACTTTTTTGGGACCTGTTACTTGAAGGGAACCCTAAAACTAAACCCCTAAACCCTGCCTTAACCGTGAAGTAGACTTTTTTCTCCCTGGTTACTTCAAAGCCCTGTCATAGTTGAGTATCATTTCACATGTTTATGGGTACTTAAACCCAAAAAGAAATAAACATGTACATTTTTAATCCTATCCCGAAAATGAACTAGGAAGACTTTATGGGTACTTAATCCTATCCCAAAAATGAACTTCAAAGAACCCTAAACCCTAACCCCCTAAACCCCAAACCCCTAAACCCTAAAATAGACCTTTTTCCCCTGGTTCCTTCAAACCCCAGGCTATGCTCGGGTGAAGGAGGCGGCTCCTAGGGCTTTCAGGCCCCGAAGCGGAGGGGGCGGGGTGGGGGGTTGTGGCTTTAGGAGTTTAGGGATAGTTTAGGAGTTAGGTGTTTAGGGCTTATATGGCTTTAGGGTTTAGGGTTGGGGCTTAGGCATTTAGGGTTTAGGGTTTAGGGCTTTAGGGTTTAGGGGTTTCGGGTTTGGGGGATAGGGCTTAGGGTTTAGGGTTTAGGTTTTGGCTTTAGGGGTTTAGGCTTTAGGGCTTAGAGCTTAGGCTTCAGGGTTAGGCTTTAGGGTTTTGAGGTTAGGGTTTAGGGGTGTAGGAGGCACCTGGACCCTCAAGAACCCACCTTCTTGGGGCTCATTATTGTGTATAAGTCCTGCAGAGGGTAGGTTATTTAGGGTCCAGGTAGGGTGTGGGGCTTAGGGTTTAGAATTTAGGGGTATACAGTAGGGTATAGCGCTAGGGGTTTAGGGCGAGTGTTTACACTGAGTGTTTGGGGGTTTGGATTTTTTACAGTTTTCTTTCAGGGCTCCAGTTTTGTATATGGGTGGTTGTCAAAATTATGATCCCTTTTTGGTCCCTAATCTAGTAAGGCACCTAGTATTTAGGGTACCCAAAAAGGGGTCCTTATACTACTATGGGTCCCTCTATTTAGCGATGATGCAAGAAGGTTTGTTCATTGTCAACTGTGTGGTGTAGTGCTCCGGGTCTTCAGGGGTGAATGCCTAACAGAGCTCCGATTCAGGTGTGGTGAGCCTGCAGAGCAGCGCTGCAATCATAGCAACGCATCTGACCCCATGGGCTGCGCTGCCGGAAGCTCCGCCGCAATCCTAGGTACAGCCAAGCGTGAACCCTCTAAGTTTGAGCGAGCTTTAACCGCCCTGTCCCTGAACCCAAACCCTACACCTCTCAAGCCAGAAGCTTAATTACCCTAAACAGTGGCTTGTAGTCGTCCTCGTAGTAGTAGTAACGATGACGACGACTACACTACCTACAGTACTGACTATCTTAAGTCCAAGGTGCCTACAAGCTCCCGTACCCTTCAGCGCACAGTCAGCCAGAGTTTCCGTACAGTTTTAACCTGTCGGTTTCCAGACCGATGTCTCTACAACCTCGCCTACACTGATACATAATCGACCAACGCAGCAGAGAGTGAAACATTCCTAGTCCAGGCTATTCTGGGCCGCTGTGCACCACCTGCGGTGATGGATATCGAAGAAAGCACAATCTGTGCACCAAGTGCGCTGATGCTGCTGCCGGGGCGGAGATGTTGAAAGCTTTATAATCCACAGCTCGAAGTTTATGGAGCTATGGGTTTCTGCACGGAAACGCCCTAAACCCTAGACCACCCAAACCCACAAACTGCAGATCCCAGGACGGGATAAAGCAATCGAGGCTACGTATAGCAGCTGGCATGCTCGTGCTAGCCGCGGCGGGGGCGGCGACTGTTGGCGGCGTCGTTTATTGGCGGAGGACCCGCCGGTTGCAATCGAGCTTGCGAAAAGAAGACCCTCAATCCAGCGCCATGGACCCTGTCGAGTTCTAGGTTGCCGTATATGGTACTTTCCGAAAATGAGGGGTACTGAGGGGTACCTTATTTTTGGGTCCTTATGATCATTGTAAGGATCCGACTATTCAGGGTAAGAAATTACGGTCCCCTCTTTCGGGAATTTGCCATAAATATTGTCTCATGTCATAGCTGTCATGGGGCAAGACCCTGGCCTGCACCACACTCTGCGAAGGCACTAGATTCAGATGATTCTAGATGTCTCGCGGCATTCCACGGATGTGGAGTTTACAACTGGGCTCGATTGGACAAGCGTCCCGAACAGCCTAGTGCGAAAGGACCTCTTCTACGCGCCATTCGGGAGGAATCATCGAGGCATGTGTCGCTCCGACGACTGTTCCTGGCAGTCCTTCCGATGTTTCTTGAACAGCAGACTTGGCAGTAACACCAGCACTACGTGAGCCATAGTTCCAAATGTTTCTCTAGTCCGTATGAATGTTGCCACAAAAGGTTTTGAACAGTGTTCGTGACTATCATTGCTGCCGTTGGAATTCCTTGGTTATTGAACGAGTATGATCGTTTGTTTTGGGGTTGAGGTTGTTGGGTCAGGTCCCTTTCTGGAGGAGCAAGGCTGGAGTCCCAGCAGCGGCAAGACCCTAAACCCTAAACCCTAAAACCTAAACCCTAAACCCTAAACCCAAAACCCTAAACCCTAAACCCTAAAACCTAAACCCTAAACCCTAAACGCAAGATCCGCCTCCCCTCGACTCCGTGGACGCCCCGTCGCCTGCCTGGGCCCCATAGCGAGGATAACCTACCAAAGCCGCCCGGGTCCCAGAGAGCCCAATAACCTCTATTAGGGTTTAGGGTTTAGGGTTTAGGGATTAGGGTTTATTAATTGCGAATATAGCTTATATCAGAATATGAAGCCAATCGTCATTTACGGTATATTCCTGAAGTGGGGTATTGGGCCCTCTCTAGTTACCCCACGATTCCCCAAAAGATAAGGACCAAATGGCCCTTACAAAGTCTCAGCTGGAATTATAAACTCTTCTTCTTGGGTTTAATCGGGTCCCCAAAGAGCACAAATCTAAAACCCTAATCCACAAACCCCCTGATATACCCGGGAAAAGTCCGTGCCTGCTGCGGGGGAGTGCGTAAGACGAAGCTCTGATGGCAGCCTGTCCGATCCCAAAGCCCCGAAACCCTAAACCCCCTACCGAACCGCTTTAGGGTTTAGGGTTTAGGGAAAAATACCGAACCGCTGCTTTCATCAGGCGCTTCGGCCACTCGTGCGGGTCCAGATGTCCGTGCTGCTTCAGCTCCGAGATGCTTTAATATGAGGGTAGTTCTCTAAGTCGGGGTCGGTTTTGGGGGTCCTCTTGTGAGGGTGCCATACCATGTTGGGGATTTAAAAAGGGACCCTAATGTTACGGGAACCCTGAACCAAAAGAAGGACAACCACTACCCGTGTTGGTGTTTTCAAATTTTGCGAGTTCTGAATTGATGAGGTGTTTAGCTGAGTTTCAGTTCAGAAAATTCCGAAGCTAGCAAAAGCATGTTTCATAAATACATCGGCATGTGCACACACGTGCACAAGCACGGTATGCATATACATCTGCATTATATATATATATATATATATATATATATCGGGAGTTATTTTACACACACACACATATATATATATATATATACATACACACGTACATATGCACATGTCAACCTGCATGTATGTATGCCTATAAGAAAACCGACGAACGGTCAACGTATGAATAAACAAGCAGATAGATAGATGAGCAAATGTCAAACACACAGACAGCTAAGTAGACAAGACAGCTCAATGCGCTGCCATGCATGGTCGTGCTGATACATATATATATATATATAAGTATATATATATATATATATATATATATATATATAGATATGTGACACATGTGTAAGAAAGCCAGCCAATCAGGCCAGTGGACATAAGCAAATAATTTGCATATAGTACGACCGGTTGAAGACGTAGATAGCTAGATTGGGCAATAAAGCCCTGAGACCCCTCCACAATGAGACCCTTAAGCTGCCGACCCTATCTATACCCTAAATCCCCTCTTTAAAACCCTCTTGGCTCAGCCCGCGTAGGGCAGTTCTTCCGGGAACCCTTTAAGCAGCCCTTTTAAGTGCTATAGGGGCCTAAAATATCTACCTATACTATTTTTTGGGGGGAGTCCTTCTTATAACTATAGTTCTAATTATACAGGCCCCTTCAAAGCAACTCTAAACGCCCTAAACCCTAAACTGCTTTAAGCAACACCTTAACCAGGACCCTCCTTGTACCCTCAAATAGAGGTACATGGCCCAAAATAATGGGCATTTAGGGTCTAATAGAGGGTAGATGGAGGGTCTAGGAAAGTGACCCTGAAAGCCCAGGTTCGGACAGCTCTGGGGCGTGTTGGCGGCTCTTTCAGCAAACGGCGAGCTCTGGGAGGAGGAATCTTAAGGGTACTTAGAAATGATTTTCAGTTTTTGGTTATTATAATCCCTGAGAACCAGCTAAAATTATGATTTTTGCTATGGTTCTAAGTTCAGTATAGGAATCTCGGGGGCTTCTTGCGGTCTTCGGGTCCTTTGAGTGTGTAAGGGCCTTAGGATCCAGGGTCGCGTTCGGTTTGAGGTTTATTCTTGTTTGATTTGGATGGGGTCTTGAAGCTTACTCTAAGGGTCCAAAGCACCCAGTAATCAGGTACTCGGGCTTTGGGGAGTGTATGATAATTAGGTACTTGGACCCTTAGGGTTAGTGTCGTCGATTAGTTTAATTGTGGTGCTGTTGAGAAACTTATCTGGGTCCTTTCGGCTTCACTACGGGCGTTCTATGGGGTTTCTGGATCTCAAGGGTACGGGAGTTGGCTTTCTTTACAAGGATCCGACAACTCAGGTTTTACATCAGGGCCTCCTCTCTTCTGAAAGTGAAACCTTGAGGTTCAAGAGTTTAAGGTGTAAGTATGCAAGACCCTAACCTGAAACCCCAAACCATGGACCTTCTCCCTAAAACCCTAAAGCCCTACAGCCATAAACCCTACCCCTCAACACACCCTTAAGCCCCTAAGCTATAAAGCCCTAAACCCTAAAACCCTAACCCCCCGTTCCCGCCAGGAGTATGTCCAGTGGTTGCAGTTGACAACTAGCAGCCTTCAAGATGCGTTTTCCCTGGAGTCTGCGTCTTCACCAGAAATGACTTTTCATGTTGTCAACCCGAAGATTACAAGTGTAAAAGAAAGAACCTGAAGAATTTGAAAAAAATAACCTTTCCGTTTGAACCCTACAAACAAAACCTTATTTTTTGGGGTTCCCCTATTCTGAGTTGCTTGTACAAGTCCTCAAAAACAGGCAGTTTATTTCAGGTCCATGGTTTAGTACAGAGTTATATAGTTTGGGAATCAATACGTAAGCCATACATAAATGTCCATAACCTACAATGTCCCAGGTTTTTGTAAGTTCTTGTTGTGAGCCCGAATGTTGAGTTTATCGGGCCCCTACAGAAAAATATCGGTTTGGTAGGTTAAGGTTTTGTTTTGGATCAAAGGGGCTTATAGGAGTGCTCCTACGGGGCAGATGCGCGATTTTACACTGCTCTGGCGGGGCCTTTGGTTCCCCTCGTGTCTTTGTCATAGTTGGGTAACATTTTACATTTTTATGGGTACTTAAACCCAATAAGGAATAAAAATGTAAATTTTTAATCCGATCCCAACCATGAACCAGGTGTTGCTTCTCCTGTGCGCACTGCTGGAGACTGTGTCCAGGAGCATGGGTAGCTCGGCCGATTGAAGGCTGCCTTACGGTTGTAAAATGTTACCCAACTATGACAAAGCTAAGAGGGTCAAGGGTTGAAGTAATTAGAGGTTTATAGGTCTTTAAGGTTCAGGGTGATTAGAAAGGGGGGTTACGGTTGATGCTGTAAATCCTGCATTACCAGAAATAAGGAATATGCCATAATTCCCATAGTTTAGGCTCCGAAAGGTAATGCAACCCCAAGCCCAAAATCCTAAACCCTAAACCTTAGACCCTGAGCCTCTAAACCATAGTTTAGAATCGCTAAAGTAATGCAGGGTTTATATCCTCAACCCTACACCCTAAAACCCTACAGATCCTTAAAGGAGCCCTTTAAAGTTTAAAGGTGCCCTTATGGATCCCTTCAAAGGAACCCCGGGATTTAGAGCATCAGCCGTATCTCAGATTTTGGTTTGCAGCTTACACATCCGAAGGCCTCGCCCACACATGGCCCCAAACCCTAAACCTTAGAGGTTGAGGGGTTTAGGGCTTAGGGGCGTTTAGGGGTTGAGGGGTTTAGGGGTTTAGGGTTTGGGGTTTAGGGTTTAGGGTCCTAAGCAGTTCGTTCAACATACTATAGGGGCTTCAACTTACCTACTTTATTTTTGGGGGTTCTTGTTATAAATATAGTATAATGGGCACCAAAACCCTATTCTAGTTCTTATGGCCCCTGTATTCAGCAGTTCATTCAGAATAGGCAGAAACCGCAAAGGGCTTGCAAATAACCCTAAGCAATAAAGCCTAAACCCTAAACTCCTAGAGCCTTTGCGCAGTGGCAGCTCCAAGTCAACCCTTTGTTTTCTATTTCCGGATCGCTTCGGGTTTAGGGTTTAAGGGGCCCTTCAAGGGATCTGTAAGGGGCCCTTTAAAGGGATCTATAGGGTTTAGGGTTTCAGGACAAGGTTTCTCACTGAAAGGATGACGCAAATGTGTGCCTGGGGCTTTGCCACGGTAATGTAGGGGCCTTAAAAGTTAGAATAGGGTTTTGGGCCCCCTTATACTATACTTATAATAAGGTACTTGTAATATGGAACACCCGAAAAATAGCGCAGATGTGTTTCTGATGTTTTGAGATCAATTGCGCACTTCGCCGCGGTATTGGTTCTTGGCTTGAGAACCGGACCTGCCTATGTCACATGTGGCTGCACGCCATGACCCGATGCGTCGTCATTTACAATCGCGTGGGCAGTGGTGGGAACCCCACACCGAGTGTTTTCGAGGTCCTACATTTCTATACCGTCAGCCGCAAAGCCCTTCACCCAATTCCAAGGGAAGCATGTTGGCTCGTGTTCGCAAAGACTTCCACTCCTGGAGAGCCCCAGACTTAATCCTAACACCCACAGCCCCAAACCCCAAAATCCCCAGACGCTCAAAGTCCTAAACCCCGAACCTAGTCTTGCTGCCTTCTGCTTCCAGCAGGATGCTGTAAGCAAATATTCTTCCCAGGGGCCACATTCCACCAGGTTCGTGGTCTGTCGAGGGATGTATAAACAGCGTCGGATGAATGTGAGATTCGATGTGTTCGATCGCAAAGGTTCGTTTCGCGGGTGGCCGGATAGTTCTTCGATGAAGGACCAACTGCAAGACGTGGTCTAAGCGAAGCACACATGCACAGGCCTACAACAAGGTTTTGAAAGATAAGAGGCATTACGGAATTATCGATGTTCTGCCTACAGTCTGCGAGCAGCAGATGTGGACAGTCGACGATTTCTGATTAATTAGTCTCATCATGCTTGTGCCTTCAAGCGTCCGTGCCTGTTGTCTACAACTCATTTTCGAAAAACAGAGAAGTCAAACAATGCTTCCTGATGGGGGGGGGGCGGGGTAGATGCCTTGCAAACAGCAAAAAGGCAGCTGCAAACGACAAATTCGAACAAGTTTAAATTTTTCCCGGCTGCACCTTCGCCAACCAACCGTGCATCCTGAGTCTTTACCTAGAAGCTCATACACTACCCCGGTTCTAGGGTACCTAGTTCTTTAGTTAGGACCTGTTATATAGAAAAGTAGGTACCATACAAAAGAGGTAGGGTATGAGCCTCTCGGCAACCCCTCAACCTGTTCGAATAAGGTGTGCGGATGGCATTGCGACTGCTCCCTTTCCTCTTCATCGGTGGTGCGTCCAGCTGTGCCAAGCCCAGATCTCCGACAACCTTGCGTCCTATAGTGCTCTAGGTTTACTGGGTTCTGGAGTAACATACAATGCTTTGCTTGGTACGTGTTCCTTCAAGTAACCATGATGGAGAAATGTACGTATAGTTTTTTCTTCTTGGTGACATCAAAGCCCAGTTTATAGTTTTGGCGTGCGAAAGGCTTCTTGACAAGCGCCAGCTTGTGCAGGTGCTCGTCTACTGAGCTGCCAGCACTACGATGCAGGCCCTGACCACACAAGCAATAAGTTTTGAATCATTAAGAAAAATAGTCCCTCCAGCTCAAGATCTGTATCTTCATGCAGTGACAGCCCTGACACCTTAAAGTATGACCACTGAGTACAAAACCTGTTAAACCAATGGTCAGCTCTAGAATCTAGAGTCTATAACCAGGCGACCAAGCTCTTGGGGAAGATGCATTCCTCACGCTACTGCCGCATCTCACATGCCGAGATGGTGGATGGCAAGCCACTGTGGTGCGGGCCTCGTTCAAGTGAGGGTTCAGGATTACAAGCTACAAACGGGATTTGGGCGCACTATAGGGGCCTAAACACTAGCTGGGGGTTCCTTATTACAACTATAGTATAACGGGCCCCGAAATCCATATTCTAATTATTAAGCTCCCTACAGTAGGGTTCGGCAAGCAAGCGCCGTACGGAGCTGTATCAGCGATTTGTGTGTCGCAGCTCTCTTCTTCCCATCACTCAGAAGTGAGTTGAATTCAGATGACAGGCTGTTAAAGAGAAACCGACTGCTGCTTCCAACGTCGACAAAGTGTGTCCTCTTGAGGCAGGGAGTGTTGGATGGATATCGATTGTCGGCTACGTCATCATTATTCCGGGCTTCTTGTTGTACCTGATGAGCAAGCAGAAGAGCGCGATTGTACCAAGCAAGCGGTCAATGGCGACTGCAGAGCTGGGACAAGACATGGCAGTTGTGAGACTGCTCCTGGGCCTCAACCGTAAAGCCCGGGCTCTGGAAGTAACTTTAATACTTTTTTTGAACTTGTTACTTAAAGGGTACCATTGTGAAAAAGTAATTGTCTGTACTGTTTACCCTTGGCTAATTCAAACCCTAGAAACCCAAAACCCTAAACCCGTAAACAGTACACCCTGAAACCCTTCATCCCCGAACCTGGGCTGTTATATACATATATTGTACATGTGTACATATATACATATGTATAAGATGCGCACGTACATACATACATACAGACATACATGCAGACATACATACATACATCACTCAGTCATTCATTCGGTCAGTCAGTCAGCCGGTCAGTCAGCCAGCAAGCCAGTCAGCCAGTCAGTCAGTCATTGATTCGTCCATTCATTCTGTCTTTCTTTCATCCATCCATTCATGCATACAGACATACAGACATACAGACCTACAGACCTACAGGCAGACATACAGACAGACATACATACATGCATACATACATAGACACACGCACATACATACCGTATTTACGTGCGAATATGTGCATATGTAGCTGTTGAGAAAGCGCTATGTTAGTTTGAGTGGACGCACAAAACCTCAGGCACGCATTCCAGGCGCACGACGACGGCACTGAACCAGACTCCCTCGAGAAGGATCACAGGGTAATTGGAACCGGCCAAAGGCGACTGTACGGCTTTCCGAACCTCCAATGCCAAACCATTAATTGCAAACCATCTTGAATCTCGGAGACCCAGTACAGCCCTCACGCTAAGAGTGATTTTATTACTAGTACTGTGGTTCCTGTCATAATTTCCGCTATTTTCTCGTTTGTCTACTTCCGTGCAGACCCTCAAATCTAAACCCTAAGCCGCGAACCCCAAACCCAGAGCCCTGAACGCTTACGCCTGGGCTTTGCAGGAGCCAAGACTGAAGCACTTGCTAGCTGCGGCAGTGGCACACAGTGCCGTTTACTTCAGAGGGACCGTGTCGCTTCAACTACACGAGAATCAGATGATGCCACCCGGCGTGCGATTTGTCACAACTAGCAGCTAGGACATGGTAGTGAAGACTCGTGGTCCGTACATGTAATCATCCGACCACAATATGGGAGTTTCCGAAAACAGAGGACCCTAATATGGCACCCTAAATAGTAGGACCCTGTTATAAGGACCCCAAAATAAGGTACCCCAATATCCGGAAACTCCCATGTAATCATCAGACCACAATATACCCGCACCGACCGACTGGTTTGTAATTCCTCTATATCACTGGCAGAAGGTAGGGTTCTAAATATGAATCAAAAAAAGGAACTACTATTGGGCCTTGGGGTAGTTAAAAGATGTTGAAGCTGTTAGCGTTCCTGGGATTACGGTAATGCTCTCCCAAAGATGAACACCACATGGTATGTCCGACCTTAAGATGTTCGAGACTAGGCTCCGACATGCTCTTGGGTCTGCCTTAACCCGGAATAACCTACCTTTCAAGGACTTGTATAAGGAAACCATAATAAGGAACCCTGAAAAGGTAGGTTATTCAGGGTTAAGGTAGGGATTAGGGGTTTAGGGTTTAGTAAGGGGTTTATTCAAACTGGGGCGTTTTCAGAAGCACGAAAGCAGGGACTTCGACGATATAGAGTCTGGGGGTCTAGTTTACTTAGAGGATCATGGGACTTAGTAAGTAGGTTATAATGGGGGTTATAAGTCCCCTGAGTGGGGTTATCCTAATTGTAACCTGACTTATAACCTGACTTACTAAGTCCCATGAGCCTTCGAGTAGTATGTTGATGCAGACCCTCATGTCGAAACCCTGTCTGGCTGTGTCCGAGTTGCGAGAGCGTAATTGAGTAACAGGCTTACCTAGACCGCCCCCCAACAACACCGAGTTATAATCAAAGCAACCGCCCAAAGAGACCTTATCAATTCCCGACATCGTGACCCCGTTCCACGACCCAATCGTTGTGGCCCACACGGTGTTTACAAGCGGCCGGCTCGAATCCTGATACTATAGGGGCCTTAGTTTTTTGCCTAAACTATTTTGTGGGGGCCCTTATCATACTAGTAGTTTGACGGGGCCCCAAACCCTATTCTAATTACTGTATCAAGGCCCGTATACTACACTTTCCGAAGTCTTCGCCAGTCTTGACGAGAACTCCCAGAGACGGAGGTTTCTAAATATTAGAGGCTTTGCCCTGGGGGTGCTCAATACAACGAGCAGTTTTTTTTGTGGGTAGTCTAAAGTGTTAGTTGAAGGCTCATGGGACTTAGTAAGTAAGGTTATAAATAGGTTATTATTAGGATAACCCCACTTAGGGGACTTAACCCCAATTATAACTTACTTACTAAGTCCCATGATCCTCTAAGTATCAGGGGTCCTTCAATCCCCAGAGACTCCAATCTCGCTTAATTAAGGAAGGATCCTGAAATCATATTAGGGATCCTACTTTCATTGAAGGCATTCCGTAATTGATTCCTTAAATCATATTAGGGATCCTACCATTCCGTAATTGATTCCTTAAAGCATATTGGGCATCCTACTATCGTTGAAGGCATTCTGTAATTAAGGGATATTGGAGTCGCTGGGTCTAAGAGCTACAAGCCCGGCAAGCGAAGGCAGGTGCGGCTTCTCGATCCCGCAGAGAGCCAGGACGTGGAGAATGCTGCTTGGCCTGGCCACTGGCGTTGGAACGATAGGATTTGGGGGTTTAGGCTACTGTAGGAGGCTCCCGACGAAGCAAGCCCGCTGCAAAAAATGCTACTGTAGGGTCTACCTAGACCTTGAATGGTACTGTAGTACATACAATATTTCGGATAATATATTTTATGGTTGATTAGGTTCCTGCAGCAAGGTATTCTGGTTGCCGAAGCAACTTTGTGTACTCCAGGGTCAAGGTAGGGTTTTCAGGTCAAACAAAGAGGTGATAGAGGTTGCAAGTTACACGGCTTCACTGTTTACAGACTGGCTTAGTAGTAGAGTAGGTAACCTTTAACCTTTTTTTGGGTAGTATAGTCCCTATATAACCCCTGTAATTATAACCAAAAGGGTTAACCTTTAGTTCCCCATGATACCCGACAAGTAGGCTGGGGGATCAACATGGGCACACCTTTAAAAAAGTTCGGCAGAGGTTGTCAAGCCGCACCACACAATGCGTATGTGGGTCGAAAACAAGCGTTCGACGAGACAGAACAAACCCAGAGAGCCCAATACCCCTTAATAAAGGAATATTTCTTAAATCATAATATGAAGCACCTTTTGATGTAAGGTATATTGTTTAATTAAGGGGTAGTGGGCTCTCTGGGAAGAGCTGGACACCGGACGCATGACAGATGCAATCTGCGATGCACCGTTTGTGCACGGGTTGCTCGGAAATCCGTACTAGCACAAGGTAATACAAGGGACAGGCTTACAAGTCAGATGATGTCTCCCGGCATCCTGAAGCAAGAGTGTGTTGCTAGGGTGTCGGAGTGTCCGTCCAACACAGACCAATCCTATATTAATGTCATGTTTTCACATCTTCCTTTGGTGCAGACCTGAACCCCATTTGTAGTGAGTCTTCGAACCGAGAGACCTCGTCTGGCTGAGTTCCGAGTTGCGAGAGCGTACATTAAACCCGAAACCCTACTAAGGACCGGGGTTTACGTGGAGGGGGTGAATACGGGGGCTTCAATATAATTACCAGCACTGTTTTGGGGGTTCCTTCTTAGAATTCTAGTCTCATGGGCCCCACAACCCTATTCTACTTAAAAAGGCCCCTACAGAAGGGGACCTAGCTTCGAGGGTTGGTATGTTGCCGTGGCATGGCGGATTTTGATCCCCAGATAACCCCCACGAAGTTATGGTACTATGTATCGTATACCGTAACCCTGGACCCTGAAACCGTAAACCCTAAAACGAGCGTACCTCCCCAGTCTAACCCAAACCCTAAACCCTTAACCCTAAACCCTAAACCCTAAGAGCCTAAACCCTAAAGCCTAAAACCCAGCTCAGATGGATGTGCAGTTGTAAAAAGGGGCTCAAAAGAAAAAAACCCTAAAACCCCTAAGAGTCTAACCGTCAAGGCCGGCAACCCGGTATTGTGTGTTTCGAGATTTCCATGGCTCGGTGCAAGAGGGCCAAAGGACACATCTTCCAACACCAGCCATTTTACAAGTTCTATCTAATGGGTCCGATAAAGGGGTCTATAGGGTTCCTTTAAAGGGATCTATAGGGGTTCAGGGTTCCTTTAAAGGGACATTTATCTTTGGTTAGTAGGGAATGAAAGGGGCCTTATAAAGGGGCCTATAAGTGTTAGCATAAGGGATCTATAGGGGTACTATGATATAGGGGCCTTAATAATCCTATAGCTTACCTTTGGTTAGTAGGGAATGGAGGAATGGGGTACAATTATGACCACTACTACTGCCATTCTTCCATTCCCTACTAACCAAAGGTGAGTAATGGGTCCGAAGGACTATTCTGAAAGGTAGTCTTATTGGCTGTAAACTCAACTTTTGAAATTTTGGGGGTTCTTAGAAGGTAATCGATTCTGAAAGCTTTTATTCCCTTGGGTTTTGGGCCAGTGAGTAATAAGCATTGGGGTCGGGTCGCTAGTTTCACTGTTTCAGTGTTTAGAACTGGTTCGGCTGGATGCCTAAGGCAAGCAGCACCGCTTCAATTATCCTTCGAGACAAGGAGCACACAGACCAGCGCCGATGGATCAAAATCACGAGGACTCCACCGAACCACTTGGCTAATACCTACCTTGACCCTGAATAACCTACCTTTTTAGGGTTCCTTATTATGGCTTCCTTATATGGGCCCTTAAAAGGAGGTTATTCCGGGTTAAGGTAAACCCGAAGCCGCCCGCACTTTTGACCCGACCTTCCGTTCATGGCTGAAGGCTTGGCTACTTGGAGGGGCAGGGGACTGAGTAAGTCGTTTATGGTTATAATTGGGGTAGCTCCATTTAGGGTACGCATAAAATAACTCTACTTAAAACCCACTTACTAAGTCCCCTGCCCCTCCAAGTAAACCCTCTGTAAACCCTCCCAACCAGACCAGTATCAGTAAGCTCAGGGTTCAGGGGTTAGAGTTCAGGATTTAGGGCCCTTAATCCTTCAAACTAGGGCAGCATCAGCAAAGTCGACAGAGCCTGCAGCTCTTTTCCCTACACTTCTTTGCGGCTGATCCTGGGAGCCTCACTGTTTGCAACTCTCAGACTGCAGCTCCCTCTCTATAGCACCAACAGAGAGCCTCAAAGAAGGCAGTGTTTTGGGGTTATGATATGAAAACCTGCAAGGTTGCCACCTTAGAGCCACTTGTTGTACTTGTACCAATAATATAACACCCTCCCACCTACCCAACCATCCGGGGGCCTATATCACAGAAACCTTATACCTTACACTACCCTTTTCGATAACCCCATTCTAATCATTAAGGCTCCTAATCCCTAAATCCCTTATTATAGTATCCCTGATAAGGCTCCTATACTATAGTACCCTTGTAGCAACCCTTGGAGACCCCCTTAAAGGAAGCCTAAACCCTAACTCTTAGGCTCAGCTTCCTGCCAGGATGCTCACCGAGCGCTGCGTCTTCCAAGATGCAGAGAAACGGGATCGATCCAAAGCTGTCATCTTACTTAGAGGATCATGGGACTTAGTAAGTAGGTTATAATCGGAGTTATAAGTCCCCTAAGTGGGGTTATCCTGATTATAACCTACTTATAACCTTACTTACTAAGTCCCATGAGCCTTCAAGTAGGGCATTCGTAGGGAGCCTTAAGGGGTTTAGGGTTTAGGAGCCCGGGTTCAAAAAAAAAAAAAAAGGAGTATAGGGTTTAAGATTCAGGGGTTTAGGGTTTAGATAAGGTTTCGGGCTTAGGAGTTTAGGGTTTAGGGCCTACTTGGAGGTTGATTGGTAGTTATTAGTAGGGTTATAAGTAGGGTAACTATACTTATACCCCATATTAGTGGGCTTGTAACCCCACTTACAACTACCCATGAACCTCCAAGTAGGGCATTTGACGGTTTCGGGTTTAGGGGTTGAGGGCTTAGGGTTGAGGGTTCAGGATTGAGGGTTGAGGGCTCAGGGTTTAGGGTTCAGGGATAGAGGTCCAGAGGATCGGTGGGCTAGTCCTCAATCAAGCCCAGTAGCAAAGTTGGAAACCCCATAGCCTCAATCCTCAAGAGTAGTTAATGTATAGGGAATCCCAACACTGTTTGTCATTGATCCGGTTTCAACTTTTTGGGGAGTTTACTATAGGGCCGTTGAGGGTTCATTAGGAACCCTAAGAAGCCCTTAAAAAGAACCCAGAGACCCTCCCCCCCTCACAGGAACCCTAAGAAACTTCACCCCAAATTCCGGAAGCGGGGGGGGCCTTTGGGTTCACCGACCCGAGGAATTCTGGCAGGAGCCGACCGGCTATTCTGCAAGTATGCCACTTGGCTTGAGGGTTTTGGGTAGGATTTTGGGGTTAGGGGTTTAGAGTTTCAGGGTTTTGGGGTTCAGGGCTGAGGGTTTGGGTCTTCGACCGTAGGGTTCAGTCTTGATCCGGGACGGAGGAAGCCATACCAACGTCTGCGGGCTCGACCTTTCCGATCACTTCCTCGTAGAAGAGGAGGTTTTTCAATTTTTGCCCGCATTTTTTGGCCACTTGAGCTCGTGAAGACCTTAGTCCCGAAAGAAAAGCATGATCGTGGTCCCGTGATGCCGCCGCCAGGAGGAAACCATGACCCCGAGACTGACACAAGCTTGTATCCCAAAGTACCTGCACTCAAATCCCGAAACCCCCCTAAACCCCGGTAAACACTGCCACACCCTATAAACAGTATATACCCTAGGCCCTAAACCCTGAACTGCATAAACCCCAAACCGCACAAGCCGCAAGCCTCTAAACGTTTCGATTCTGTAAAAACCGCCTTAACCCTAAAACTCTGAATCGGAAGGCGTCCGCGGGCTTTTTTTCTAACTCTGCCCAGCGAGATAAAAGAACACTACAAATGTTCCCAGGCTATGTAAACCCAAAACCACTGTTCCTTATAGATACCTAAAACGGTCCCTTCAAGTGATCCCTAGCACCCGCTAGAGGCCCCTTCTCTTCCAGCTCCTAAAACCCTTAATTTAAGAAAGCATTAGGCCCTGAATCCAAGACCCTATTCTAAGCCTTAACACAAATCGCAGATGCTACAGGTAGCAGGCCAAACCCTAAACCCTAAACCCTTAGCGCCGTTTTAAAACCCTAAACGCCCTACCCCCTAAGGCCCTTCTATTCGCACTCCGAAACCCCTCAAACAGCATTAGATGCCAAAATCGAAGCCCTTAGCCCAGCCGCATTTTAAAACCCTCAACCCTGAACCCAACCCTCGTGCCCCGGCCTAAGGTGCTCTTTGAGCTCGTTTGGTTCGAGGTGGTCCTGAAGCTAGTCTCGGCGGCTTTTGTCTCGGCGCCATGGCTTTTGCCTTGCGGTTTAGGGTTTAGGGCTTGGAGGGGGAAGGGGTGAAACACTGAATGTTACACATCCAGGTGCCTGTCTGTTTCACGTATCACTTGCATGTATCCATGCCTGTTGCTCAAGGTTCTAGTGCAGTGGACTACAGCTGTGCGCCTGTAGCAAAAGAGACACCTGAGTGCCTGTGTTCCTGTACGCCTAGCGAGGGGATACACGTCCAGGTTACATCTCAACGTGGTAGCGGAGCTCCCGGGAAACGGGAAGCTTCACACTTGTGGAGGTACCCGTTCGGTACTCTCTACACAGGTGGAGGCAACCGGAATACCCGGTGTGCTTCACTCAGGTGAAGGTGACCGGAGTCTCTCCGGCACACTTCACTCAGGTGAAGATAACCGGAAGAGGTTTCTCCCGGGGCTCGATCCAAGAACAGCGCAATGGCTAGCCACTCTGCGACTATCTTTGAGCATGAAGGAGGAGATGATGACTACCTCCTCCACGGAAATGAATCTTTCGCGACTAATCATCGTCATCTCAATGAATTACACCGTCTTTCAGCTTTCCAGCAGGTGACCACCAAAGTACCTCCATCTTATGATGGTAGAAGCAGTTGGTTTGCCTATGAAGATGCGATCGATGACTGGTGTGACATTACTGAGCTAGACAATGATAAGCGTGGACCAGCTTTGAGAAATCGGCTAGAAGGTGAAGCAGCAATCCACAAGAGACTTCTCGACAGAGATCGCCTGAAGGACCCGAACAACGGAGTGAAGTACTTCAAGAGTTTCCTGCGGCCGCTTTTCGTGAAGGGAGCAGCGAATGTTTTTCTCTATCGCTTCCAGCAGTTCATGAACATGCACCGTGGGAACGGAGACATGCTTCGTTGGATTACCAGGTTTCAACTCTCTGTTCAGAGAATGCAAGAAGCGTGGAACGATACCTATCTGCCGATCGAGGACCCGAACAATGCAGAGGTCAGAGCTTTCATAGTAGGACTTCCTCCAGAAGAACAAGAAAACCTTACGCCAGCTCAGGCAATGGAGAGAGCCAACGAACGGCTCAGAGAGCAGCATGCTCGGACCATTCCGATCACGCCCAACCTGGTCGCTTTGATCTTTGTGTCCCTGTCTGATCTGACACAGGATCAGCGTCAGGTGTTGACATCACTGATGGCGCATCGGAACCGAGTCCTGGCTGACTACAACACGGCCGAGCTTCGCGAAGTCTACCTGGAGATCTTCTGTACGACCAAGACTACCGTCGACAATCCACTCCTCGCTCCTTCCGGCCACGGTGGCCGCAAGACCTTCCTTGTGATCGATGAAGGATATTTGAACGATCATGAAGGCTACTGGGTCGAGGACGAGGAAGATGGCACCGAAGGTTTCCTCGAAGCGGATGAGGACGCCTTCTGGGTCTACGACGACGAGAACTATTCATGGTTCCAGCGGCGCTTCCAAGGCCGCAAGATGAGGCGCGGATTCAAGGGCCACCGTAAAGGCAAGGGAAAAGGTGGCAAAGGATCCAAAGGAAGGCGCTTCTTCAAAAGGAAGAAAGGCAGGTCACATCTTGCCGAAGAATCAGAAGCATGGCAAGCAGAAGGACAATGGCAAGATTACCAGTGGAGCGATCAGTCCTGGGATGACTGGTCCTGGTACGAGTCTGAGGAATCCTATGCAGCCAAAGGAAAAGGAAAGAAAGGAAAGAAGGGCAAAGGAAAGAGCAAGTTTGGCAAGGATGGAAAAGATGGAAAGTCCGGAAAAGACGGACAGAGCCAGCTTGCTGATGCTGCCCCGAGCGGCACCACAGCCGCCACAACCTTCTTCGTTGAACATCTCAACACTCCGAACTTTTCTTTCATGGCCACCGAAGAGAAGATCAATGAGATCGAGGAAGCCTTCATCTCTCAGCCCTTGACGCCGACCGCGATGGTGTTGGACCTGGGATGCACGAGAGCAATGGCTTCGAGAGTGGCCGCACAGGACCTCATGGAGTTCTGTGACAAGAACCAGAACTGTGGCATATGGTACACCATTGCTGAGACTACTTCTCAGTTCACCTTTGCCAATTCCGAGTCTACCAAATGCAACCAGAAGTTGGTCATTTGCATGTACGACCGGGACTTTGCAGTTCAATCCACAGAGTTCGACATTGTGGAACAAGGGCATGTTCCCATTCTCATGTCCTTACCTCAGATGCGCAATCTTCGTTTCCAGTTCGAGCTCCATCCGGAAAAGGCCTTGCTCAGCAGCCCTGTGCTGGGAATCAAGGATGTGAGGCTGAAGGTTGCACCCAGCTCACACTTGGTACTTGATCTTCTTGAACTCAGTCAGCTGATGTGGAATGTGCGTTTCAGCAAGCATAAGAAGTCGAGCTTCCTCACCTACTTCTCCCACTACGAGTACGGCTTCCATCAGAAGACCGAGGGATGCTGTTCTCATGAACAGGTACCCGACAATCTCGTGTTGGCGACTGATGATGAATGGGTGATCAACGAAGCCGACATGGAAATGATTCGCATCCACAAGAAGATGAGAAGAGTCAAGTACGAACCCAAGGCGGGTTATGTGCCAATTCCGTTGGAGTATCTGGACACCAAGCGCAAGACGATCATGGAGTTCTCCAAGGGAAAGAGCGTTACTCAAGAAGATGACTGGCGTTCTTCTGAGCTTTCTTCAACAAGAACTACCTAGACATGGGTTTGTAGTGGTTTATTTTGGTTTAAAGATAGAAACTAAAAGATATTGGTTTCGCGTTTTTTTTGGTTTTCTGTTTGTTCGTTTTTTCCGTTATTCTTTGCAAAAACATGACATATATAATATTTATGATATATATAATATATATTATACCATGTAGTCATGTATACTATACATGATTGTTGTCGTATTATCACATTTTTATATATATATATATAGTATATGCATGCATGACAGCTTTGCGAAAAGGAATTTGCACAGCAGAAAGAGAGAGAGGTCTCAAAGACAAACACAGCACAGACACACTCGGCCCCCCATGTTTTCTCAGTCAGCGCTCGAGCTGCTGATCACACGTGAAACAGGTGAGGCTTCCACTTGGACCACGAATATATAAGCCATCTCTGAGCCGTTCGCTTTGCAGCACCGAGTGGGTGAGCAGAACGGCTAAATCGGCTAGAGACACCCATATAGTCTTCATCCATTTGCGTTGCGAAGCAAGCAGGGTTTAAACCCCAACTGTGGCCCATCGAAAGTCTCAAGTCGTGCTCGATGTGCAGCATGTAATGATATTTCGGGGTGATGTTGAAAAACAGCATCCCCCGTCCATTGCACAACTGAGCTGCCATCGAGTAGGCAACAAAGAACCGGCCCAACAATGCCCGAGCACTTCGCATCTGCGTGGCATTCATCCAGACTCTGTCACTGACCACATAGCAGAGGCGGTGAAAGTCATCGAGAGCTGTCAGCAGGTCGAAAACATGCGAAGTGATATCATCCAGGAGCCAGGGCCTCGATAGGTACTCGATCAGCCACTTTGTGACCAAACGCCCATCGGAGCCTTTCCTTAAGTCACAAAAGAAGCTTACACTTCTGTTCGCACTTGGATTGTTTCTATCAACATAAAAACTGCCACGAAAACGTTCGAAGTCTTGAGGCCACTATATGTAAGCTCAAGGGTTACTTTGATGGAGAGCCATGGACTCCCCAAGGGCCCTTTAATAGAGTCCTTAGGGCCCTTAATGGAAATTCACCAAAGGCAAGGAACCAGGAGGTCTCGGGAAACTTCGCCCTGGTCCATCGCAGGTTGTCCTTGGTGAACGTCTTCACATCGGGCGTCTCATGCAATATGTTCTTGCAATAGAAGGCGAAGTCCTTGTATGCCTCCTTGAGGCAGGCCGGCACAGATGTACCATGTTCCGGCGCAGGCAAAAAATATCCCATCTCAACCAAGAAGCATATAACAGATGCCACACAGGTCCTCGTTATGCCCAAATGGCTGATATGGAACAAATCCTTCGACAGGAACCCATCATCTTCCCCTCCTGGCAGATCATGCAGAGGGCTCGATGACCTCCACGGCGGGTCACGGCCAATGGTTCCTCGCCAGGCTGCATTCCTCCGGTAGTCACCGAATGGCATGTCCTTGCCATCTGCTGAGCACCAGGGGCACATGCAATTTGGATCATTGGTGTAGGTCCGCCCTGAGTGTGCCAGTTTGGCCTGCGCCGGAAGATCTCCTTCCAGACGGATGAAGACAAGGTAAAACAACCCCTGGAGGGAAGGCACACCATTCAGATAGCAATCGTTTGCATCTTCCACGAAATGCTTCAAGAGGCTGTCCAAGGTGTTGTTGCCTGAACCATAGCCTTGATTGTCATCCTGCGGAAACCGGACAGCACAGCAAGCATGATATATGCACACATATATACATGACAAATATAACCGTCTATGCAAACAGGATCTGTGGCTAAATCCGTTTATGATATTTCGATAACCCCAATTGCATCCTTGTACTCATCCGCTAGCATTGCAGAGTAAAAGAAGCAATGCAGTGCACTTGCCGGCCCTGCTTTCAGAACAGGGCCCCAGCTCTGTTGATAGATACCAGCTCGCCGGAAAGAAGTCCCTTCATCTGCATGCACTCTGCATGGTATGCATCGGGAAAGGTGCTCAGCATGGGTAACATACACCTCATGTCCAGGCCAGGTGTGGCGGAAGCGAGTCCAGAATTCCAATAAGCCTGTCTCAACCTGATCCATCTGTTTGTAGTCATGTCCAAACAGAAGTATACTCGGATAATATCTCAAGATTTCTGTCGCCAATTCCTTAACTGAAACAACAGGATGAGCCTTGGCACCTTCAGGAAATTGCACCGTCTTCATTCGTACCTGTGTCCGCAGCATCAAGCCCAAGGCTTGAACATTGTTCACGAAAACAGTCTCCTTGTCAGATTTCGAGGCATGGGCCAGTCCCAGCTGCACAAGTGCTGGGCGCCAGGGATCTCCTTCCTCCATGGTTTGTGCATTGTTGTATGCAACTGCAGCAGCTTCAGCAGCGTTATGTGCCTTATTTTCCAGGCATGCAGAAGCAAAGCTGCAACACAACTTCAGAGGACACATCAGAAGACTTTGCAATAGCACCGAGGGGCAATGTAGGTCTGCAGCACATTCTCCACCACCGTCGCACCTGCACGAGGCACTTTCAGATTTAATCTTGCACACACACAGAAGCACAAGTCAGTAAAGCAAGTATCTGCATGTATACATGTACATATGCCACATATATCAGATAAATGTTGTGTATTTATATATATATGTTTAGATATGTCGTCATGACATATCTTATCTATCGTTCACCCATGCAAACACAACCCGGTAACACAATGAGAAAGTCTATATCTGTATATTAATACACATATATATATATATAAATATATATAAATATATATATATATATATGCATTGTATATATGCATATACACCTGTTTGAGTTGATGCATCTGCAAAGCATACAAAATACATTCATTCCAATAAGCAATAAATCAACCAATCATTCAGCCGACCAATGAATATCTATACGTTTATATGTTATATATATATATACACCCACAAGTATATCATATAAACAAAATCAAGATGAACATATATTGCTCACGTCTGCAAGATTCAGTTTTGTCCATGTCATCAGCAACTGTGACACTGCTGTGAGACCCATCTGTGCAGCAGCATGTGCAGTCCCACGAGAGCAGCAAAATGGCAAGCTGGCACACATTGCATATGTTAGACGGCGTACTTATACATGCATTCTGAACCTCCCTGCTTGTGAGATCCGCACGATTCTACAAAACTTGGCCAGCTCTGGCTTTTCGCACAGAGCATCGGAAAACTACTCTGCCACCTCCTGTTTCGGTTCAGCCTTTGCCTTTGCCTTGCCCTTCGCTGCCACCTTGCGCAGGTAGGACCTTAGAACTAAAGTGCATGCCATGCATTTGAAGCTGAGCACATGTTCTTGCAGCTGAAACATACTTTTCCAACACACACCATATTTTAGACATAACACATTCACGTTTTCAAGCTCACACTGGAAGCACGACCTGGGGTCAAACATGACAATCACATCCTGAGCATTATGGGAGTGTGCAGCCCCCAATGCAGGTAATGAAATAAGCCCAGCCTAAATGCTTCTTATACTGATTTCAGAGCTGAGTTGGAACACATACGTGTCCCCCTCAGCTATCTATGTATACATATGCAGACATGTTTACATAGGGGTAGCTCAGAGACATTATGGAATTTCAAGACACAAGCAGACACCCAGAGCTAGACCTTAAGGGACCTCAATCAACATATCAAGGTTTGGATACGAGGCTTCCAGCCGAAAAAAACAGAGAGCCTCAGCCCCAGACTTACAGGCATTGGCACTGTTCGTAAAGCGGAGGAGGGCATCCCTGATCTTGTTCATGGTCTCATCGAAGTCCTTCTTGGACCTGAGACAACACACCCACAACAACATTCAGAACAAAAACATCATCATATTCCTGCCACGTGACGCATTCTTCAAATGCAGCTCCTGGTCACAGAGCTGCTGGTACAGCTGGTTGAGGCAACCTTCATTGTCACAAACCAACAGCAGAATGAGAAAGGAGCACCTTGAGATAACAAAGCAATGATGTCTAAGGCCAGTCAAGCAGCCCATGTCATTCTCCAGGCGCTTCACATCATCCCTTGGAAAGTCTATCTCAACAGAGACATGAGGTGGAATTTCGAGGACACAAGTTTCAAAGCATATCGGGCTATTATATATATACACACAGTATATTATATGTATATATATAATATAAGTATTAAGAGATTTGTTGTAAGAATGTATTTCTACCAACAGATAGTGTGTGAACATGCATGATTGAATATCCATATATATATATATATGTAGGATGCATCACATACAACTGCATAATATATCAGTAGGCAAGGGCAGGGCATACCTTGACAATATGCATTTGCAGACTGGCGACTGATGACCAGTCACCTTCTCATCGGCCAGCTTGTCCAGCACATCCCTGTAGGTGTTCTTCTTGCCCAAGCAGGCTCGCTTGAACTTCGCGACATAATCAGTCACACTTTCCTCGCCGTCGATCTCTGGGAGGGCTCCTGGCAGAACCTTCTTCTTGCCGGCTTTTTCCTCAGCCTTTTCCTCCTCTTCATCCAACATCAGGTCGCCGACCCCCAGGCTGAGATCGAAGTTTTCCGAAAAGGTGCCTGCCAGAATATATCGAGACATGCATGGTTGTGATTCCATATAAAGCATTAAGCCTACACACAAACAAGACCAGTAGCCTGCATCTTCCATGATGGACTCCAACTCACGAAGTTTTTCCACGCCTTGCCTTAAATAGCTCCCAGGCATGGCTTCTGCAAGAAACAGTACCAAAGCACATGCACCAACTCCCACCCCAGTCTGATCGGGAACAAGTGCAGCAAAGACACTCCACCCGGTCACTGGTTTGCACCAAGTATTTCCGGATATTCTCGTATGGGCATCGCTTAAATAGCTTGTGTTTTTCACAATGGGCGATTGCCCCATTGATCTTCTTCCTTAGATGGTCCGAACAAATGAATTCGTCATTCATGCGATGAGGCTCTCTCTTCACCACACGTGGCTGCTATGGGCACTGCATCACATAGCATGATGCGTATATGTATAATATATATATATATACATATATATAAGAGAGAGAGAGGTTATATATTCATATGTTGCTCATACACAAATGTGTATATATATATATGTATATGTATTAATGTGTAAATATTTACAAACATGTTCTGGACATGGCTGGATACAAGTACAATATATATATATATATATATATACATAAGGACACCAAGGATAACTGTCATACCTCCAGTACAACCTATAATCATCTTCACCTTTGGATAGCTACGAAGCTTATAAAGCCCAGGCACTCCGGCCAACCCAGACTGGCCATCTCCGCAGGCGTCAACCACTCAAATCCCTTCAGGGATTTCCTCCACTCCTTGCTGAGCTGGCGAATCTTGAACACCGCCTCCAGTCGAGCCTGAAGTATAGAAGTACAGCTCTGCAAGTAAAGTGAAACTGACACATTGGGGCAAAGACCTCCATATGCAGGAGAGTAGCAACATTGGAAGCAGGGTCCAAAGGCTGGTAGCACTTCTCGATGAACTCCTTGAGGAGCTTCTGCCGCGTGAAGCCTCCTGCAAGGATAGCTCCGTATGTATATATATATATATATATACATATATTAGTGTATACAGTATATAAGGTACAGTGATGCATGTATATCAATGTATGCATTCATATACGTGTGCTTGCATGCTCATGAAGATAGATCAGCATGCATTTGAAAACTAAGACAACAGTCATTCGTGGTAGCATGGCAGCCTATAACTCAATATGTGAGAGACATAAATAACCAGTGGCATAGATACAACCAAGGATACATCGATGGCTTCAATGCTTGCACAAGTCTTCACTCACCCATGACTCGCAATTATTTAGAAATCCATGTGAAACTTAAAGTACATGCACAGACACACAGTGCTAGGTAGCTACCCAGATCCATGACAAATATTAACAACATATACATGTATTTATGCTAACTTGTATACTGCACAATCCGAAACAGACACAACCATGCAAGTGCAGCAGCAGGTACTATATAAGTCACATGACAACCCACATAACTGGATAGAATCATGCATGCCTGGCATAGCATGGCATTCCACACCAACTTTCTGAATTTCATATAGCTGTTGTATATTGTCATGAGCACATGCCACCAACATGCATGTGCACATATATATGTATATATAAATATATGTGCTTGTAGTAGATGTATAGAATCTGCAAGCATATCAATCAGATAAGGCAATAAGTATATATAGATATGAGTCCATTATACATGTACATGAAGACTCCCACCGAACATACACTTGTTATGTGCGAGACACACGTACAAGACACATGTTCTCAATTCAATGCCAAGAACCTGTCTGCCACTTGGCCAGGATCTCGGCCCGCACTTCCGGGTCCTTGTTCTTCATGGACTTTCCATGACAGTACCGGTAGAGGGCACTCCACTCTGCTGGGTGCGTCTGCGAGTTCAGACTCTGCGCCCGCAGCCCTGTCCTGCAAACAACACTTCAGAAGCAATAAATGCACTCAGTGATACACTCACCTCTGACACTATCAAGAGCATTCTAGCGGCTCTTTTTCTGAACCTTCTGTCGAGTTACGGGTGTCCATCTCCCTTTGGAGCATCCTTTGGAGGGCTCTGCTGCTCGATGTCCTCCGATGGGCTTGTGGTCGGCACCTCAATCACGGAATCCCTCCCATGGGTAGCCACTTCTGCCCTCCCAGCCGGAGGCTCGGTGGTCGGCACAGGCTCGGTAGTCGGCACAACACGTGGCTCGGTCGGAAGGGGCTCCATTGTCGATCCAGAGGCCTCACCATGTTCCCGTGCTCGTGAAGCATCTGCACACTTGTGCAGGAGTCGCAAATACATATCGTAGACGTCATCTGGCAGGGTGGTCGAACCAACCAATGTCCTCAAGGACAGGTAGACCGCATCGATCGCCACAGCCTGCTCCAGTTGGGGCGGAGCTGTCATCCCCACAGGTATCGAAGCTCCTCCACCTGGAGACCCAGGCATCACAGGCACTGCATGTGGATTCCCACCAACCAGATTCGATCCCACACCTTTTCCCCCAGCCGCTGTTGGAAACGTAGGCATCGGCACTGACGTTGCACCAGGCTGCACGTAAGCAGGTGATGACCCCTGCTTCTCTGCAACCACATTCGGTCCCCCACCCATGAAGCCCATGGCAGGTCTTGGACTCGTAGGCAACGGTTGCTGCATCGTAGGCAACGGCTGTGGCATCGTAGGACCCTGCTGTTGCATCGTAGGACCCGGCCGTTGCATAGTAGGCACCGGCTGTGGCATCGTAGGACCCGGCTGTGGCGTCGTAGGCACCGGCTGTGGCATCGTAGGCACCGGCTGTGGCATCGTAGGACCCGGCTGTGGCGTCGTAGGCACCGGCTGTGGCATCGTAGGCACCGTCGGCTGTGGCATCGTAGGACCCGGCTGTGGCATCGTAGGCACCATCGGCTGTGGCATCGTAGGCAACGGCTGTTGCATAGTAGGCACCGTCTGTTGCATCCTAGGCACCGTCTGTTGCAACACAGGCACCGTCGGCTGTGGCATAGTAGGCGCCACCTGCTGTGGCATCGTAGGCACCACCTGCGGTTGCTGTGGCATCGTAGGCACCACCCGTGGTTGCTGCATCACCATGGGCCCTTGATGCAGTTGCTGCGTAGGCACCCCCTGCGACTGCTGTAGCAGCTGCAACACCGTAGTCATCAGCTCTGGCGACACAGCAGGTGCAGGCTCAGCCACATTTGGCCTTTCACCCACGGAGCCCTTGCCACCTGTGGCACTCGTAGTCGTAGGCGCCGCTGGCATCTTCGGTACCTGCTGTGGCGCCACACCAGCCTGCCTCACAGCAGGTGTTGACCCCTGCATTGGCACAGGCACTTTCGGCTGAGCATCCAAGCCCTGCTGTGGCATCGCATCAGGCTGCTTGGATGCCTCAGCCGGTTCCACAGCTGCTGCTGCTGCCTCCCGTGGCACAGCATCTGCTTCACATGCCTCTCTCCGCCCTTTGCCTGCACCAGATGCACCAGGCAACTTTGGCATCTTCTTGGGTTCCACACCAACTTTCGTCTTCTTCATGGGCGGGCTCTGCACCGGTGGGCTTTGCATTTGCATAGCCTTTGGCTGCACTGCAGCAGCTGAAGCATGGTCAGGAGTGGCCGGTGCACGTTCTGGCGGTGGCACCACAACACCCTTGACCTTGTTCTTCTCCGCAAAGAGCTGTTTCGCCTGCATCAGCTGCTCATGCACAGCTGCGTCCTTCGGCGCCGGAGGATGCACCTGAGGGAATGCCAATCGCACCGGGCCAGGGAAAACAGCAGGTGGGGGGGGTGGGAAAGGTGGGGGGGGGGGTGGTACAGGGGGGGGCGGGCATGGCGGAGGAACTTCAGGAGGCTCAACCCAGTTGGGTGGGGGGTAGTTGGGCTCAACCGGGCGTTTTCGGCCACGATCCTGCTCCATCTTTGCCACAACGGGCCCCACTGGAGTCTGCACAGGTTGTGTGCAACCTTGCATGAGCCAGGATGCGGACAAGGGAGCTCTTTCATGATCAACACACAAGCATTCAAGGAGAACCTCTGCAAAGCATTCCTGTGACAGCATATTAAGAACATTATCTTATATTTTACTAGATTACAGCATATTGCACATGTAGTCAAGTCCAGTCAGTCTACTGTCTTATAGAATGATAGCTTAGGTCTATCTTAATATTATATATATATATATATATATTATATATATATCAGAATACTGAGTTAGTATAGATATGTGTCTATACATTTGTATACACATACATATATATATATATGTATATATATACATAGATATTACAGATTTGTTGATACACTACACATAGTTGAATCAACTGAACTGTTATTCATATGGTTTGCATATGTATATATTAATATTAATTATATATCTATCTATAATATATATATATATATATATATATATATATATGTACATTGCTTTTCGAAACTGTACTTTATAATCAACACCACAGACATATTTATTGTTTATATTTATTTATTTATTTATATTTATATATATATATGTATCAGAATGGTGCCAGAAATCGACTGCTCGTACTTTGCCGATACCTCTATATGCATTTGTATATACATTCTGTATATGTATAGTCCATGTAAACTGGCATTCTCTCAGACAGCTCTGACACACTACCGAAAGTATTTCTGAGCTATGTTAATCCATTGTGGATATCCAGGTCGGTATCTTTGCAACACATCAATATCAAGGGTGGCCTTAGCTGGATCCTACGGTTGCCTTGTCAGTCAGCAGATGCATCTTAGAAGCCCTAACAGATTAGGAATGTTGATATACAAGGTACAGCACCCGATAGAGTGTACAGCTGTGTAGTTGAATCGTTCAGTAGACAACACATGAACCTTCTATAACTATTGAGATGGACATACAATACTGTATTTATAAACATCGTATAAAGAACAAAACACATCACTTTCATACATGCACAGATGCCTGTATACATTTATAGCTCTATATCTAGTACATGAATATGTGACCTACACTTACGATAGGTGTTGTTGTGTCGGGTTCTATAAGTCTTTTTAACTTCAATCAGCTGAATGTACCCAAAGCTCTATATATATAATATAGATAGACAGAAATTGCACATGCCAACAAGTGACGGTATTGACCATGAACACTCAACATGTGCTGCACAATCTGGCGTGACTGCGGCGTGTCGGGCAAGCGTGATAGCATCTGACGGGTCCTCGGGCTGAAAGTCCTCAAAATCTCCGCCGCAACCCATGGCTCCTCCAGGAGCTCCTGCTTTACCTGGGCATTTCGAACAGAGGGGACGGGATTCCATATGGGTGCACAACACATCACCTGTACATGGTCCGTATAATGATGGCCAGGAGTCCTCCCTCAATGGTGTGTGCATGAGGGGCGGCTGCACAGTTCCTTGAAGATGACTGACTCCACCATTTAAGGTGGCACAACTCCAGGTTCTGCCAGCACTGTTCGAATCCATGGCTTCGAAGGTTCCTCGGAAACCACCACCTCAAAAAAGCTTGGCCCCAAATGGGCAACAAACCATGCCATGTTCAATTTGCTCCCAAACTCAAGCAGCATCAGCACATGCAAACTGCTCTCCAGGAAGCATGCAATATACATTATATATTCTTAGTATAGTTATATCAATACCATATTTTACATGTAGATTAGAGTATACTACCAAATGCTGCTCACATTTCTGCATGTTCATATCTATATAATATGTAAAGATGCACATGGAGTATTAAGCTATACTACTTAAGGAGCTATTATATAACAAATGTATAATGTTATGTTGTTCCAAAAGCTAATTTACTTTGTAAAATATGTGTATATTATATTATATTATATATATATATATAGGACACACACACATGCATGGAAACACAGCCAGCATGCACCAGCAACGTTGTCGGCACCTGCTTGTGCACGTCGCTTCTTGTAGAGCTGCTGCGGGTCATCCGTACCTGACATGCAGCAGCATAGGGCCATGTAGTATGCATCCTCCCTCGAGTGAATCTATAGTTGAGCAAACCGCTTTGTTTCCAGGCCAAGGTACATTGCATGAAACAATAACCAGACAGCAAGACTGCGCTCAAAACAGGTTTGATATGAACCAATTCTGCTGGAAGCTTGGCTGGTGCGAAAGTTTACGACTGCTCATTATTCAATACACTATATTATAGATATATAATAGACACACGGCTGCGTTCAAAACTGGTTTTGAATAAACTACTTGTGGACGCAGGATCTTGTATTACATTGACAGCAAAGACTGCATTGCAAGGTGGTATCCGCAAAACCAATTGTGTTGGACTTCTGGTTTGTATATTATATATCGATCTGTGGTATTCTGCATGCAATATCAGCACAGGGTGCGTTCACAACAGGTTTCGGCATGAACCCGCAGCTTCGCTTGCAGGTTTCCAATAAACCCCTTCTGTTGGATCTTAAGGCTTCATGTCTCATATATAGAACATTACAATGGTGTATCATTATGCTATAGGATAAGCAATCAGGTTGTGATTTAGCACAGGCTGCGTTCAAAAAAGGTTTCGGAATAAACCAATTGTGCACGCTCTGCTGTGTCTTGTCTGAGGAGCTAGCACTGGCTGCGTTCAGAACAGGTTTCCTATAAACCAATTGTGTTGGAATGCTGGGTTGCGTGTGGCCAAGATTGGTGATTTTTGTTGTAGCATAACTTAATGTGTTGTGCTGTATAAATCGAGGGCTTGCTGTATATCACAGCCTGCGTTCAAAACAGGCTCTCTATATTATATATAATAAATATATTTATTATACATGCACATGCAGATTTGTATCCAAAGCCAAGCACACAACAGCCAAGGTTGCGTTCAAAACAGGTTTGGGAACAAAAACCGCTTTTGCACGCAGCCACGTAGCATAGTGTGGTTCAATGGATCTATGATACCACAGCCAAGGCTGCGTTCAAAACAGGTTTGGGGAACAAAAACCGCTTTTGCACGCAGCCACGTAGCATAGTCTGGTTCAATGGATCTGCCACAGCCACGGCTGCGTTCAAAACAGGTTTGGGGAACAAAAACCGCTTTTGCACGCAGCCACGTAGCATAGTCTGGTTCATATGATGCCACAGCCAAGGCTGCGTTCAAAACAGGTTTGGGAGCAAAAACCGCTTTTGCACGCAGCATCACTTCTTATCACAGGCCAGCAGAGACTGCGTGCAAAACAAGTTCGTGGAAAACCAAATGTGCCAGAGCCTTTGCTCTTGAGTGGCTGTACACCACCGGAAAGTTGGGTGATTTTGCTGTACTAAGACTATATAGCACAGCAGAGGCTGCGTTCAAATAAGGTTTTATTATACACCGCTGGTGCAAGAGCTTCGTTGACCTCTGTTGGCAGCAATAACTCCTGGTGTTCCGATACAATAGAACTGGTTTCGGGCCGGTGGGTTGGGAAACCAAAAAAATCTGGTTTCCGCAGTGAAGGCTGCGGAGAAAATTGGTTTTTGGGGCCATGGATTCTTGGATTCAAAAATAGGAAAAATGCGTTCAATTGCGTTCAATTCTGCTCAATTTTTTTGGTTTCCTGGTGAATTTTTTTGGTTTCCTGACGCAATGCGTCGCGCTAGGTTTTTGCTTTTTTTCAAGGTTCCGCCAGTTATGTCCTAGGTTGCGGTATTTTTTTTGGTTTCTGGAAACCAATTCTTGTTCCAAGCACTCACAAGCTGCGTAGTACAAGAAACCAATTGTGTGTTGAATCGAACATGTCCATGAAACAGCTATGTCAAGTGCAAATATACCTGCATGCGACAGCTTCTTTGGGCACTTGCAAGATGGCTCTCTTCAGCAGCAAGGCGTGCATGCACGTGCAACTACATCGGAGGTCTGCCATGATATCAGCACAGAAGGTACTCAGTCTAAAATCGCAGAAACTCCTTCAGCTCAGGCGGAATGTCCAATGATTTGGCACCCCACAGATAGTGCACCACACTCATCATATCAGCCTGCTCCCAAAGGTCGCGATCAGCTGACATAGCAGTCAGCAGGTGCATAATGGACATGCCAGCATCGTCCTCGAAGGAAGCAGGCATACATATAATAACCAATATAAATACAGCAAGTATATCCACAATCTAGAGTGCACTCCCAGAAATGGTATGGAACCCACATCAGCACACCCACACATGCATCATATATATGTATACATATATATATATATATATATATATACAGAGAGCATGACAGAGAGCTTGAGGCTGCATTCTGTGCCATATATATATATATATATATATGTATATGTATCATATATATATATATATAGTTAATTCAGACATTGCTTTTGGCAGTAAGAGCATGTGAGAAGGAGAAAGAGAGACATAGAGAGAGAGAGAGAGAGAGAGAGAGAGAGAGAGAGAGAGCGAGAGAGAGCATGAGAGAGAACAAGCATACACCATGGCAGTTGATATAATGTCCATGCATATATATAGGCTCACAGCTCCATCCATGTTTGAAGCTGCAGCTGAGACACATTTGCCACACGTAGGCCCTTGATGCCCTCATGCATGGTCGGCACGATCTCTGCCAGGGCATCACCAAAGTCCATAGGGTAAGTCCTGAGCAGGTACTGAATTCTCACGAATTTACATCTTTATATACATATACATGCATATATTATAATATATATATATATATATTGATTATACATATACTCATGTAAAGAGGGATATATTATATAATATATATATATACATGTATATATATTAATGATATATGATCTACAAATCATAAAGGCATTTTCATAACCGACTGTGAGACAGCATATGCAACTGAGAGCAGATCTGGCTTTGACGGAGCCGATGCTTATTCCCTGTGGATCTGCGCACCCCTTTGGCATCAATGTAGTATTTGGCCACCGGCACCAGGGTGGCTCGTTTGGACTCGGTGACAGCACAGAAGCACATGAGCCAGTATGAATATCCAGAAACAAGTGTATGCAACCACTCCCTGCCAGGACACTTTTGGAATGGGTCCTCGATCCAGTAAAGCTATGTGTGAAGAATTCGACCAGAAGCAGGTGCTTTTGGCACTGGCACCACCATGCATGGCCATAAAGATCTTCTGCTTGAACACCTCAGATAACATGTATACATTATATATATACATATCAGATACGATTCATGGACATATACACACAAACACACATACAGGGGTGTACCTGCACCATGGATAACACACCTGTAAAACATAGACCTGTGAGCAGCACAGGAAGCACAACTGTAGACACAGAATGCATGTATATGTCTGCACTACATGCAAGTATATAATATAGTTTTCTGAAACTGCATACCCCACATTTAGCTGTCTTTGAGATGTTCGAGTTACATAGCAGCAGTCTTCAACAAAGCGCCGCCACAACGGAAGGTGACCGAATGCAGCACTGCCAGGCTGCTCAATGATGAAGACATGCCCAAGCGCTGCCACGAGGTGGGCCAAGAGTGTGACCCTGACCAGGGTCACATTACAATGACAGTTACGGGCTATACATACTACATATTCAGGAAACCCACTTGGCCCAAAACCAGGTCTGGAAATCAGTTCACACACAGCACCTGGCAGCCATCTGGTTGCCCCGGACCACCCAATCCTTCGAAGTATCACCCAACGGAGCAAACCAGTGTCGTTGAGATCCACTGCTACTCATCCAAGAGAAGCTGCTGCAGTCCGGGGCCATAAGCAGTACACTTTGAGGGGCCATACGTAGAATGGACAGCAATGCCAGCCTAAGAAGATGCCATAAAACATGTGCAACCACACCTGCATGGCATTGAAACTGTCAAGGTCTGATCCTTTTTACATTAAAAGCAGCCCAGGAACGAGAATCCAGCCGGTGCCAAGAAATCGAAACCCCCGTAATAGATTTTGTCCATCTTGAAAGCAGGAATGCCATGGAGCTTCACAGCAGTAGTGACATTCGCTGCCCCAGCAAAAAGCTCACCGAAGCGGTAAACCTCAATGAGACATGCAGACAACACTGTGTTGTGTGCACAAAAGATAGTACAGACAGATACAGATATACCTATACATGTACTCCTGAGTCACCCACCAGCTAGTCAGAAGAGGCTTCAGTTTCATATTCGTTTAATGCATGCATTTATCATTACTTGGCATAAGTTCATAGTGTACATATATATATATATATATATATATTCTATACACATCTAAGCATATCTGTAGAGCATCTTTCAGTTCCAGTTCTTGCACATCATAATATTATGCAACAACTCTGCACTTGTACTCTCACTTTGCACTGCTTTTTTGAGAACACACTAGACGAACAGCCTTGGCTCACAGCAGCACAATGCTGCATACATGTATGAACACAAACACTGAGATATATAAACCATGCACATTCGTATGTTATATATAATATATATACAGATGAAGATATAGATATGCATGTTGAGGTGTGTATACATTATTCATGTACGTGCACATATATATATATATATGCAAAAACGAATTGTATACATATATTGTAGACATGTATATACCGGAAAAGACCCTCGACATGCCCCTGCAGCCATGCAGCCCAGGTTTTGTCCAGATCTGCATTGTGTATCAAGAGCAGGATGACCACACATAGGACCTTGACAGACTCATTTGTGAACCATTGTACTTCCATGCTGATCTGCAGAAAGCCAGAAGAGACTCTATTTGCAACCAGCAGGCAAATGGGATGTTGGCACGATAAAGCTTCCGTAGAAGAACATCCAAGGACCATTCAGGCATGGTGGGTGCAGCTATCTATAACTATCAAGTCCAGAGAAGACTGCCCGGTCTTCGCATCGATGTAGATAAAGCACTATTTAGGGCTCCATCGAGTGCCACATGTGCATGATGGGCAGTTGCAGAGAGACAGAGAGAGATATTGCCACTCAAGCAGATTTATCAAGACTGCTCAGAATCTGTATCTTACAACGACAGCCTCACTTTAAGAATATAACATGCATCTATATAAGATAGCACTATACATAAATTGCTAGAGGTGTATCTTGGGAACTATACAGAAGCTAAGCTAATTAAGCCAAAGAGCTGCGCACCAGACATGGTCCCAGCATACAGCCATTTGAGGTCATGACAAGTATAAGATATAGTATATCATATCCGACAGATGACACTAATTGTCTTGATTGTACAGAAATTCATAGTGTATACATATACAATATATATATATATATATACACATATACATTCATGACTCAAAACACAGAAACTGCTGGCAACTGCACCACTGAACAACATGAGCTTTGGCGCACGGTTGCAACCTTGATCAGCATCAGGACCTCGAGATCCACAGGATTGGGCACCTGGCATTGCATGCTATGTTTACAAGCACATATAGCACCCAGACTTGTTATATGTATATATTTCTATTTATTTATTTAATTATTTTATGTACATGAGACGAAGAACTACAGATCCTCAGGATAAGTCCAAGGCCAACTACTGGGTTCTCCACATGTAGCTGCATAAGCTATAAAGATGTCATGCTCATCGAAGTATGCAGAAACAGTTGTCTTCAGGTCTAGACACCAGGCCGGTGTTGTTTCATAATTAAAAAGATGTTCCCGCAGCCAAGACGGGACCGGCCTTGCCGAAGAGACTCACCTCTGAGCTGTCCTGCGTAGACCAAAACAATTCATAATTCTTCTGCTGCTGAGGATATGCCCAGCCCACCTGCATCCGACTGGGAGGCAAGTCTCAGCAGGCGCTTGCCCCCAGGCATGAGTGGTATCTGACCTCAGAGCATCAACATCCACTCAACCGGCCTCTGCACACATATATTGTATAGCATCACACATGCACTTGCAGCAGTCAGCCGACGAAACGATCACACTCTGCAATAGCTCCTTTTTTTGGTCTCCATCTAGCACACGGAGCTTCAAGAACGATCTAGAGGATCCCCTGTGGCACGTAAGGTTCAGAGGCTGCGGAACACCACCCCAGCCAGTAAGTCATAAGACCACTGGTTCAGCAGCAGGGTCTATAGGCTCATCTCCACGCATATTCTGCGACACAGCTGGCCTGGTCCTGCATCCTATCTTGGTATCGACACAGCCCTATACTATCCCCACGCATTGCCAATCCTCCAGCAAGAAGGGCTCGGCTTGCCCAAACAGCAATCCTTCCTGGGAATATTACCACCATCCTTTTATGCTGTATGCACACTTCCTTGCAATGGACAAGCTCATCCCTTTGCTCAAAAGTGATGCCCGATGAGCTTTGCTCATGGCCACCTCACACCATGCCTAGCCTCCAGCTCTGCACGATACTCCATGATCTTCTCGCGCACTTCCACAGCATTGATGTTCACATCTCTGTCACACAATGTGACCTCAACACCATGTTGTGTTATGGCAATTGCAACTTACAATGCCTGCCCTAAGACTTGCACTGCTCAGAGCATGAGAGCATGTAATCTAGAAGGCATACCATTGCCGAGCCACCACCTCATTGGCCACGAGGATGCCGACTTTCATGTTCCCGAATGTCATGCTCCAAACCTGGGGCCCATTCTTCTGCCGAACACCGATGGAACCTCGCGTCCAGTACAGCTCGAGACGGTAATTCGCACCTTGCTGAACCAGCCTGAAGTTCACAGCTTCTTGCGACGAGGGCACACATGACACTGCCCAAAGAAGCTACACACAGATGTTATATCTCTCTCTCTCTCTATGTATATATATATATATATATATACGATTGTATATCTGAATAATATAATGTATAGATTGTATGGATACTGAGTATATATATATATATATATATATATATTATATACATACAGACTTCTAAAAACAAATCTCTTTCATTGAGCGAATATCAGCCTCTCTGAGCTGTCCAGTGCACAATCAATTCTAGCAACCCACCACTATGACATCATACACCCCCATACCCATGCATACACTTGTGCAATGATCTGAACTGCATTATATATACATATATATATATATTTATTTATTTATATATGAGTAGATATATGCTCTCATCCATATACCAAGTGCATGCTTCAAGCATGCATGCACAATGATCTGTATATATATATATATATATATATATATAAAGACATAGATATCGATTTAGATATAGATCCCGATATAAATTTGGATGTAGATGTATATTACATCTGTATATATATATATATATATATGCATATCTGGTTTTAACCATATACCAAGTGGCATGCTTCAGGTACAGGTACATGCATGAGTACATGCACAAACAAGTATACCATTTGGGCCGTGAGTATGCACTATCACAGATAACTTGTAGCATGAATATTCATATTCCACATGGAAGTGTCACGAATACCGACTCAAGCTCATGCTACAGCAGCCAAGCAACTCCCTGCAGATCCTCTTCTGCTCATCCGAAAGCCCCTTACGGGGGGGGGTCTTCTCCTCCTCCTCTGCTGGCACATCATTGTCCGCAACACGCTGTGCAGCTCCACGACCACGGCCACGAGGCTCTGCATCCTGTGGCTTCCTGCCACCGCGCCCACGCCCACGTCCCTTGCCCTTGGCCTCTGGCTCAGCAGGCGATGCCTCATCATCCGTCTCCGGACCACGGCCACGTCCCTTGGCCTTGGCCTCTGGCTCAGCAGCCGATACCTCATCATTCGCCTCCGGACCACGGCCACGTCGCTTGGCCTTGGCCTTTGGCTCAGCAGCCGATACCTCATCATTCGCCTCCGGAGCCTCTTGGATCATCCGTCCTTTGCGACCCCCACGTCCACCACGGCCACGGCCACGCCCCTTAGCCTTCGGCTCAGGCTCCACTCCCGCATCCTCAGCAGCCGGTGGCGCCATCTCTGCCTCAGCCACAGGTGGCTCCACCATCTCTGCCGCAGCCGCTGCCACGCCATCCCCAGCAGCAGAGGGCCCCGCAATCTCTGCCACACCCGCTGCCAAGCCATCCTCAGGAAGCTCTTCCGGAGCAGCCTGCTTTGCAGCCGGGCGCTTCATGATCCTCTTAGCTGCAGTCGCCTTCGGCTTCTTGGCCTGACCATTCACAGCAGCATCGTTCTCACGGCGTCGCTTGAGTTCCAGCTGCCTCTTCTTTCGCAATTCCACTTGCATGTCATGTGCCATCACTTCCTCCTGGCTGTGCACATCTAGCACATCTTCCGGATCCATAGCCTCTGTAGGCTCACACGGCGGGGCAGCTGGTGGCAACTCTGGCCCACATGACTCAAGACCCTGATGCATGTCATCATCCTGTGCCTCAGGCGGCCCATTTGCCGACAGATCCTCCTGCGGCCCTTCTGCCGACAGATCCTCCTGCAGCCCACTTGCCAGATCCTCCTGCGGCCCACTTGCCAGATCCTCCTGTGGCCCACTTGCCAACAGATCCTCCTGTGGCCCACTTGCCAACAGATCCTCCTGCGGCCCACTTGCGAACAGATCCTCCTGCGGCCCACTTGCCAACAAGTCCTGACTTGGCCCACTTGCCAGCAGCTCCTGGCGCCGATCCTCAGAGACTTTCTCGAAGTCTCTGGCCAAAGATCTTTTGAATGGAGGCCTCAAGGCAATTATGCTACATGTGTGTCATGATAGTCACATAATACAAGGGTCTATATATATATATATAGATATGTAGATTGATGGGCATCTATATATTGGAAAATTACATTGGTATTATGTATGAAATTATCCACAATACTATATTTATTATAGGTATGAAACTCGACACGTATATATTTCTATATATATATATATTAAACCCTTGTCCCACATCTGCATGATCATGCACACACAATAACCATCAGCACATGTGTATATAATATCTTAGATGCCTTCACTTCTACAGGTATATATAAAAAAGTTTGGTACATGTTATATGATGTTATATAAGTATTATATTGTTATTGTAACCCAAACAACGACGATAACATTGAACACTTTAAAAAAATACTAGATATACTCTGTCGTACAATCAATGTGGTCTGGTAAACATATCATCCTGTGCCGTCACTTGTGACAGTGAAGAAACATTGCAACAGGTTGGAAGCCCAGCTGCATGGATAGCACACTAGCATGCAGGAATTGCAACATCACATGCACAGCTACGAGTATGTTATTTTCTATGTTCCGACAGGGTGTCATATCGGGTATTTGTATATATATATATATATATATAGATACAAGAGAGAGAGAGAGAGAGAGAGAGAGAGAGAGAGAGAGAGAGAGAGAGAGAGAGAGAGAGAGAGAGAGAGAGAGAGAGAGAGAGAGAGAGAGAGTGTGAGAGATTGGCATGTTCCTGCACTTTGACTTGTCAAGCTCACTCAGAAACAGGATTGTGCAAGCCAAGAGTCTCGTTATGGCCATCGGGCGTGTCGTTAATCTTGATCTGGCTCGGGAAGGCCTATCACTTGTCAAGGATAGGAACATGAAACCATGTAACATCCATTACAGAATGGGACCTCACGAGAGGAGCCATTGAACAGCCGCTGCTTCTCCAAAGCATCCTCAGCTTACTCATGGTAAGCCACTGGTGCAACCAAACGAATCCATGACTTCAATACCTGGATGGAATGGCCAAGAGGCACTGGCAACATCAGGGGCCATGGGGCATGTCTCCACATTGTCTGGCATGCTTCCAGCCATGATCCTGTGGAGCAGGACTTATCACAATTCCACAAGCCCCACCACTAAACTTCAGATGCAGAGAGTCTCCTCTCACGCTGCATGTGCAGCTTCTGCAAAAGAAACATCTTCGCCTCTTCCACAGACTCATTGCCTCAGGTCTCTGAGTGTGCTAGGCTATGATCATTCCAAGGTGCACAAGTTTAGCCATGCAAGTATGCAGACATGGAGCCCTTCAAGATGCACAAAATGGCCATGCCTGGATACATGAGCTCACCCTGGAAGTTTATTTAATAAGATACAGCCAAGTATTACCAGCAGTATCAGGGAAATGTTGATCATGATTCCACATGCAACCATGGAGTCATGAATCACTGCAATATGTGAGCAATCTCTCCAAAAGCGCACCGTCAGGCCTAAATAACAAGACATCATCGGTATTGGAAACTTTTGTCTATTGTAATACATCTGAGATCTATATACATACATATAACAAGTCTTATGACATATTATATCTCACATGTGCGTACTGTATATGTATATGTGTGTGTG